CTTTACCACCCTCCACCACCTACAAACAGAGACCCGCCCAACCCACAGTGACTGCAGTGCGCCACTCCAGAGGCAACCCCTAAACTGGTGGCAGAAGGGTCCAAAAAAGTCGTAGCCGCCAGGAAGTGGCAAGTGGCTTGCATGCAACTATGCTGACTCCCTTGGCCTGGCTAGTGGCAGCCACTACCTACCCCGCAGGTCCTTTAATGCATTCAAATTGATAAGTATCCGGCGCAAGTCCCACCCCGAAAACACGCATACGACACGTTGGCGGCATGACTCATCCGCCATGCTGGCTGGCGGGGATGTAAACGACAACTACTACACGGAAAGAAAATTCAAGGATAGAAAACACCCATAAATTGACCTCTTTTTCAGCTTTGAGGAAATACGTAATAAAAACTGAGAAATCTCTGAGTTTTCCACAACAAATCACTTAGGTTCTGGGACGCACACAAAGAGTTATGTTGCAGTGTATATAACTTTATTATTGTTTTTATTTTCCACTCATGTTGAAGGGGAAGGGAAATTGTCTTGCCTTGCCACTAGGCCTTCTCCTGCTGTCCTGATGTCCTGTGAGCCAAACAACCCCCAAGTCCCGGGCTAAGCTCACCCTCCCCCCACATCTTTCTTTGCAGCCGCAGCCCTTGGATTTGATTATTTATAGCTTTGAGACCCTCTTAATTGATTACCCATGCAGTTCAGTGGCCAGGACTTTAAAGGAAGCCCGATTGCAGCCGAGGTTACTCCCCATAAGAGTCAGCGAATTTAAACAAATTATGACGGAGTCAAATTTCATATCGAAGTGATACTTTTCGCAACTGAACTTTGCAAATAAAAAGGATGATACATATTTTGTTATACCCTAAGCTAAGAACCAGCATTCTTATATAACTTATAACTGATTTCAAAGCCATTCAAGGCAAACTGGTTACAGATTCCCTAACCAAATGCCAATTAAGAGCAATCAACGCTTCGGCATTTGTTTGAATGGATTTGCTGCTGCTGCTGATCGAGTCTCGAGTGTTTGAGTGTTGAGTGTTTGAGTGCCTTGCGTGTGGTCAATTAATAATCGAGGCCTTAATCGATCTGACTGCAAATTGCGAGCGATCAAAGCTCGACTTCCTCGGCTGTGGCAAGCAAGCAGATGCAATCCCCAACCCCATTCACTTAGACTGCAAGAGTTGGCCAGGCCAAAACGAAGCGGCTTTTGGCATTTGCCGTAAATGGCTGTGAGCAAGTTTTTTTGTGCAATCTACAGGCAGTAGAGCTTATAGTAAGCCAGAAAAAGGTAAGTTTGTAATTGAATAAATATAATATAATCACTATTCTTGGTCTTATAATTCTTCTGGGGGTTTGTTACATAATTTGAGGTTCTATATTCTTAGAAAAACTTTATTATCTATATCAGGTGTCCACTGTAAAAGCTTCTACATAGGCGTAACAGTGAGGTTTAGTTAATGCGACAACCGGCAGATGCCAGAGAGATTCTGCTCACCCAAAACTTATGACAGCAGGATGCAGGACATGGCCATTGAACCCCGTTGCGAAACAGGAATCGATTGGGGTCTGCGAAATCTTGAAATCCACTTGGCAACAGAACTGGGTCGACGCCAGCTATGTACATGATTCCCCAGCTCATGACGCTGGACAACACACACACACTCACACACACACACACACACCTTTTGGGCCCATGTCGCGTGATTCCACTGCCAGAGCCAAAAGAGACCGGAAGACCCCGCTTTCCATATGGCGACCATATCGAATATGCATACTCCGCATATGGTCACCTCGATTGTGATTGCGATACGTGCTCTTAATGCAACGTACTTTGATTATACCCTCACAGAGCAGCTATAAACACACAACCTCTAAAGAGTAAGTGTGTCCCACAGCTTAATGAATTTAAAATGCAACATTTACATACAAAGATTTATCTATATGTTACACGATTTTTCCAATTAATGAGTACGAATTTATAATCACCCTTCTGTGCTTGAATAATTTATTATATAGGGTAGAAAATGTTTGAAAATAGAGCCATCGTGCTAAAGTGTACCACTTCAGGGGACCACTACTGACAAGTGCTTTTCCGCTTTTCCGCGTTGACGCAACTTTTCCGCACGTGCCAAACGCAGAAGTTTGTCCTTGGATGACGGCTGCAACTAATCAGAGCGGAATGCAGTATCCCTGGGAATGGGCCACGGGACACGGGACATGGGGCTGGAACAATGGAGCGACCTTCGGTACCGAGCCAACTCACTCAGCACAATTTCCACAATTTCCACGGAATCATTATTGAATAGAGTAAATATTGACAACAGGCGTTGACGTCGGCAACGACAGACAAGAATAAACCGAAAGGAGGCACTAAAATCTACAAATGCATTAGGCATAGGCGAATTAGTGGTATCCTACGTGCAGCAGATATACATATGTATATATTCCCTTAATAATTCTTAGAAGTTTGTAAGTTATAGTACCTAAGGGGCATTTCAATTATAGGTCTTGCCTAAGAGTTTGCAAATCCAAACTTTGCCTTTTGTTGGACTTCTTCGCAACTGATTGACTTGAAACACCCTATAATACCCTGCATTTCTCTGTCTCCCACATGCGAATGGAGAACAAAAGCAGTGACAGTTAGTTGGGCAACTCAAGCAGCACTCGGGTGAGTGAGGGAGATGCTTACAGGAGGGGGAATATTGGGGAAAGGGAGTGGGGAGCTCGAGAAGAGAGAGAGAGATTTGGAGAGAAGGCCAAGGTGCAGCAGGTAGAGGTGAGAGCGGTGGCAATGAATAAAAAGCAAAACGCAATTAAGAAAACTGCAGCAGAGAGCGCACAACAGTGGTTGACTGCGCTACTGCAGAGGTTTGTCAATGCAACGGTTGATGGAGGGCGAAGATGTCTTAGGGGTGGGGGTGGTCCGAAGCTGTAGCATCTTTGGAGGGGGCAAAGAAAGGAGCCCAAAGAGTGGATAGAAAAACAAGAGTGAAGATGGCAGCGAGTTAGCGGCAGTCTCTTTCAAAGTAAATCAATTAATAAAGATTTTAAGGTGAGTTGGTGAGTGTGTGGCATATGATTATTCATTCAGCTGTTGCAACTTTTAGTTGGAATTTTAATCATTGCAATAAAATGCGATTCAAAAGGTTGGACACACACACACAAAACGCCATTCATTTTACCAACAGTACATACAAGCTAAAATAAACTAATGTTATACCTCTCTTTAAATAATTTGAATTTGAAACAATATTGATTTAACTTAAGAAATAGAGTTCTTATAGCTGTAAGGTTTTTTATTCTAATTATAGAATCCAGCTTGCAACTTTAGCTAGGTTCCACTGTATGTTTATTTATTTGCACAGGATGTGAGTGAGTATTGGCGCTCGTAAACACACACACACACATACACACATACAAATGGACCGGGAGTGTGCACGCGATTATCAAATTTATGGCTGATGTCAGCAGCGAGGGAGAGAGATGGAAAGGCGGGTAGTATACAATACATATAGTATTATTATTATTTTTGTGGCTTTCGATTTTCGATTTGCATTCCACTTGAAAATATTTCTTCGGAAGTGAAGCTGTCACCATCTCGTTCTCTTTTAAGCTCTCTCTGCCGTTCAGACGCAACTCTCCGTTCTCCACTCCCCAATGATCATCTTTCCACTCCCCCAAAGATCATCTCTCCACTTTTGGCAGTGAAGGCAAAGGTACTGTACTTGATAGCTCCAAGGTAAAGGGTTCAAAAGTGTACCCAATTTAATACAATTTTAATACTGTACTAGGAATTATTTCGAAGACGTTACTACTTCCTGATATAGGAAACTGAAACTAATTTAAAATTTTCAAGAAGGTATTTAAATTTGTTTAGGAATGCGGTCGAATTAAAACCTTGCTTGAAAATGTACTTCACATTGAAAAGGCCTACGAAAGTAGGTACTTGACTTTAGTAGTTACACAGATCTTGGGTACTCTCCAATGGCCAACGCTCTGTGAAGTGTTTATCTGTCCAGTTCATGTAAAATGATTTATTGCCCTCCATTTGCGCGATTGCCACTTCCCCCACGCAAGTGGATCAGCATTATAATGGGGCTATAACTACGTTTACGGGTTGCATCTATGCAAACATATTTATATGTACATAAGTATGCATCCCATACAGCTCTGTGAATGCATATCGACGAAGGCGCAACAGTCGAGCGGCCGAAAAGCGGATGAAATCGGTCGGCACAGCTCCTGGCACTTTTATCGATCCAACAAGAAAGCGGGCGGCAGCACACCCACCCTCCGGTCCGGGCAGGATTACGTCGCTATGTGGCGCCGGGCTTGGTTCGGTGGGTTTGGGGTGGGTGCCAAGGGGTCACGGGGTTACGGACCACGGGCGACGGGGCAGCAGCAGCACCAGTCCAAAGTTCGGAGCATGCGCACTTCACCCCCAAAGCGTCGTAATAGACACGAAAAGCACACAAAAACATCGCAGAATGCACTTTACATAACGCGGATTGGAATTTGGCGCATGCTGTGCTGCAGTGCACCAACGGGCCTCCTAGCCGGGTCTTAATTTCAGGGATTTATTATAAAATGGAACTCTAATAGAAATCCTTCCTTCCATGCTTCTAAGTCTCGTCATATGAAACCTAACTTTCTACACCGAGGAAAATCCCTAAAATTTATGTTTTAAAAAAAACAGTTTAGGCCCTTCGTACAAAATGTAAACAATGAATATTTAGATCGTATTATACAAAGGCATACATCATAAAAAACTTGATGTTCTCTAAGCCGCCCCTGAAGACTTTCGCAGCTCCACGGAATATAGTGGGCAATCCATTCTAATATATTAATAGTTTTCGTAAAATTATCCATCAGAAATAATCAGAAAAAAATATGTAAAATGCAAGTCGTAACAGAGAATACATCTCCCATTAATAAGATTAAATATCGACTAAGCTCTTCGCAGTGTAGTATAATAAACAAAGTAGATGTGGACTCACTGGCATTCGTTCATGATTTCCTCCTGGCTGCGCACCTGCACCGGAGCCAGCTCCTCAACGTTGGCCTCGTAGTTGCCGAAACACTTGGTTATCTTCTCGTCAAATGTGTTGACCAGATCCTCCAGACTGCCGCCGAAGGTCTCCGTGAAATTGTCCACATGGTCACCGCCGGCCAGTGAGCGCTTGTCCATGCCAAGCACATCGCCCTCGCCGGGCACTAGGCCCACATCGGACAGGCCCAAATCCAGGACAGTGCCGCCCTGCATTGTGTTGCAATTGGGACTGATGGAACCGGAGCCAGCTCCACCGCCGCCGCCGTTCTTGCTTACGTGCGCATCACGAACGGCATCCTCGAGGAGGCGCAGCTTGGCCGCATCAGGCTTGCCGACACCGGCGGCGGATCCCTGATCCTTGAGATTCAGATTGAGCGTGTCGTTGAGGGCATTCTGGTTGGAGATGAAGTCACAGGCGCCCCACTCGTCCGTCTCCTCGAACTTTGCCAACGGAGCCTCGAATTTAAGCTCGGCCATTTTGGTGCCGAGGTCACGCATGGCACGCGCAAAGGATTCTCTCAAGGATTCCCCGTCCGTACCGAAGCTGCTCTGCTCTGCTGTGCTCTGCTCTGCTCTGCTCTGTTTTGGTCTGGTCTGAGGGGGCAGTGTTTACTTAGCGGGAGCGGGGCGGGGAGCGCGTACCGTAAAGTGTGCACTTTTCTTCGACTTTTCCTCCGCTGCTACTACGGCTACGGGAACGGGGGCTACTGTGGCTGCGGAAATTTTGCAACCCCTAATTCTGGGGGTGACGATGGCGATGGCAATGGCGTTTTTCCGCAGCGGCACAAATACGAAACGAACGCGAACTAACTTAGCAAGGAAGTCAATTGACAACGACAAAAATGGCGACGACTTTTTATCTGACGATGCCTTCTATCTGCACACAACAAGCACTAAACCATAAAAAAAACAAATCACTTTCGGCACTCGCGCGGCTTTTCTGTTTTCTGTTGCAGCGCCACAGCGATTCGCACTTCCAATTGGTTTGATTCCGAAAAATAATCCAATCGGGTCGGCGACGAGTGAGTTTAGTGTGCCCGCCACGCGTTCCTGATACAAAACCCCCAATATCGCATAAAACTATCTGAAGCAGAAGCTGGTCTCACTTCGCCTCAAGCTAGGCGTTTTGGTTTATTCTAGCGTGCGCGCCGCGGTCACACTGAATTTAAAGAATTAACAAATTTTGCTTCATTTTATTAATTTAATTGAAAATCAACGAGTTTGCGACGTGGATAACAGGAACGAATGGCTAGTCGTGGAGCCGGCGTCTCTATGGTCCACACGACGGTGACGTCGTCAACGCTGACGACGGTGGAGACGATCACCAACGTGCTGACCACGGTGACCTCGCTCCACTCGAACAGCGTCAACATCTCCAACAACACAGCGTCAGCGGGGGCAGACGGCGCTGGCGGTGATGGGGGCGTAGCTGCCGCCGAGACGGATGCCAGCAAGCCGATGTATCCCCGCCTCTTCAATCGTATCGTGCTAACTCTGGAGAATAGCCTGATACCGGAGAGCAAGATCGACGTGACGCCGTCCAGCCAGGATGGTCTGGACCACGAGACGGAAAAGGATCTGCGCATACTCGGCTGCGAACTCATCCAGACGGCCGGCATTCTGCTGCGTCTGCCGCAGGTGGCCATGGCCACCGGCCAGGTGCTCTTCCAACGCTTCTTTTACTCCAAGAGCTTCGTGCGCCACAATATGGAGACGGTGGCCATGAGCTGCTTGTGCCTGGCCTCAAAGATCGAGGAGGCGCCTCGACGCATTCGAGACGTGATCAATGTATTCCACCACATCAAGCAAGTGCGTGCGCAGAAGTAAGTTTATAGAGAATGTTATTACCTAAATGCAGCCCCTCTGATAACATTCTTCTTTCCGTTCAGAGAAATATCGCCCATGGTGCTGGATCCATACTATACGAACCTCAAGATGCAGGTGATCAAGGCGGAGCGGCGCGTACTCAAGGAACTAGGCTTCTGTGTTCATGTGAAGCATCCGCACAAGCTGATTGTGATGTATCTGCAGGTGCTGCAGTACGAGAAGCACGAGAAGTTGATGCAGCTCTCCTGGAACTTCATGAACGACTCTCTGAGGACAGACGTCTTCATGCGCTACACGCCGGAGGCCATTGCCTGTGCCTGCATCTACCTGAGCGCCCGCAAGCTGAACATTGTGCTGCCCACCAGTCCTCCATGGTTCGGAATCTTTCGCGTGCCCATGGAGGACATCACGGACATTTGCTACAGGGTGATGGAGCTGTACACGCGCCCCAAGCCCGTGGTGGAGAAGCTGGAGGCCGCTGTCGATGAGCTGAAGAAGCAGTATATGGACGCACGTAACAAGACAAAGGAGGCAAACACTCCACCGGCCGTGATCACTGTCGATCGCAACAATGGCTCACACAATGCCTGGGGTGGCTTTATCCAGCGGGCCGTTCCCCTGCCGCTGCCCTCGGAGAAGTCGCCGGAGAAGGACTCGAGGTCGCGTTCCCGCTCCAGAACGCGCACACAATCACGAACACCGCGCTCCCGTTCACCAAGAACGCGCTCACCGAGCCGCGAACGCACGAAGAAGTCCCACCGCAGCCGTTCCACCCGTTCGCGCTCTCGCACGCCGCCCAAGCACAAGAAGAAGTCACGTCACTACTCTCGTTCACCCACGCGTTCCAGTTCGCCGCACAGCAAACACCGCAAAATGTAAGGAGCCCATATATTCCTCTCATATCTCCCAACTCCTATACGTTTTTTTAATTTCAGCAGAAAATCATCACGTGACCGCAACGACTATTACGCGAAGAAGGAACGGTCTGGACACACCGGCAGCAGTAACAATGTGGGCAACGACGACAAGTATCGCAACTCGAGCTCCAATTCGGGCAAGCATAGTCGATATTCCTCATCTTCGCATCGCAGCAGCGGTGGTGGGGAAGGACGTGGCGGCGGTGGTGATGGTAGAGGCAGCGATGGACGTGGTGGCGGCGGTGGTGGAAACCATGGAGGCAGCCGAGGCGCCCACAAGCATCGGGAGAGCGACCGCTCCAGGGACCGCAAGCGCTAGTGAAAGAAACCAACCATAAAACACTCCACTCTGTTTCGATTTAATTGCTTTTTTGTATTTTACGACTTACAGATTGTTTGTACCGACTACAATCCTGGCATTAGTTCGATTTAGTAACTGTAACTCGTAATGTGTAATGTATAAACTGAACTTGAACTCGGGTAAACAATATATGTAACTCCTCAATCAAGCGGCTGCCCTCCGTTCCATCCGGTTAGGTTTCATCTTTGGAAACACACATTTTTCATTTTACATATATCACAGCAATCCGATAAAGAAAGGCGGGCGAAAGAGAGCGAGAGGGAAGGCCGGGCTGCTGGTAAATGAATTCACCCGAGTATACACTTTGAAAATACAGGATGAAGTACAAATACTGAATATTCAGCCTAGTTACACTGTTCTTACGATGTGGAATTATTAGGGGAAGCACCCAAGATAGAGGGAAAGCCTGGGAGCTACTGCCATAATGATATTCCCGCTATAGCCCCTGGCCAACGGTCTTGGCCCATGGGATCAGAGGAAAAACGCTGGCTAACCCAGCCGCAAGATCTCTACACTAATACTAGCTGGCTGACGCTCCTAGAACTTAGATGACGATGGGGAGGGACATCAGCGAGACCTGGGGGTGCGACAGCGCGACATTGCGGAACTCCTGCGTGAAGGATAGGATGAAGAAGCTGAAGATGGTGGCAATTATCCACTCCGAAATGGAGCTAATCACATGTAAGTACCAGCCGCCATCCGAGGGGTACCTAGAATGCACAAAATAATAATAAGCAATCATAGTAAGGAGTTGATGCCCAGGCTGATAGACCCACCACTTTCGCGGATTCTGGCCCTTGAACAGGATGTGCGACATCACACCGGTGACCGCCAGAAGGATAAACAGAATGGTGCAGACCACGGACATGCCTAGCCGCAGGTGGGCATATATGCGGGTGCCGGACATTGGCAGGATCAAGTACGAGATAAGCGTCTGCATCCAGAAGTAAAGTGTGCCGCAGCCGAAGCAGCAAAAGGCGCCGATAAAGTGCACTATCCGAACGTTAGTCTCCTGGAAGTTGCCCACGATACTAATGCCCAGGCAGGATACCAGACCGCACCACAGCGCCAGGCGGTTGTGCCGCAGCACGGCGGGATCTAGTTCGGGATGGTGCTCATACAGTTGCAGCACTTGACGGTACCGGACGTAAATGGTGATTCCCACTGCAAGGCATGCAATATAATTAATGGGAGAACATAAATCGCCACAGCAGCAGTCGCATCTAATCAGCAGATGAGTCATCTAGGCCCTGGAGTCTGGTAGCGGCGTAATACTCACGGAGAACACTCCCAATGTTGATCAACTGGCCAAAAATGCAGCTCTCCGGCGAATAGGTGGCCGCATCGCTGATGTACGGCACTGTGGGCACCACATGTCCTTCCAACACGGCCACAATATACCTACAAGGAGTGAAGAGATAAGTCGGTAGAACGGGAGAGGGATAGTGGAGCAAGAACACAGCCACTGCGTACTTACGTTCCGATGAAGGTCACCTGGAATATCAGGAACACGGCCACGGGCAACAGATAAACCTGTGACATCGTGCTATGGCGGCCAGTAATGCCAACTTGCCAGGGTACCGATTATAATGATTATACCTCCAAATGTGTGCAATTGCGCAGGCAAAGTTTTTGTTTGGTTCCCAGTAGGGTTGTTGAAAATGTATCAAAACATCTATATATCGATATTTGGTTATTAAATCGATATTTTTATATCGTGATACTGTATTTGGCCAAATATCGATATTGCGATATTTTTTGTTTGGTATTTTTTGATATTATCAATAATCGTATACTATAACACAATCGATACATCGATACTTTTCCACCACTAGTGAGTGTTTCAGAGTGACCAGTTGCAGCGTGGTGTGACAATAGCTTTCGAAAAATAATTTAACGTTGGCGCTTGTTTTTGTTTTTTTTTCGTTTCGTTTGTTTTGTGCAAGTCCCTGGAAACGGCAAGCAATCAAATGGCCACGGTACGCAACCAAACGACGGCCAGTGGCGGCGTCGCCACATACAACAACAATAACGGCCAGGAATTGACGCTGCAGGGACCGCAGGATGCTGGGGCAACGCTGGCCATCGGCTATGTGCGGGAATTCTGCACTCGGGCCGCCGCCTTCCAACGCCAACGCTCCGAAGAGGCGCTGATCTACGTGCAGCGTAGCGTGGCGCTACTGGGCACCAAGGTTCAACCTCACCACTTCGCTCCTGCTCCTGGCAATCTGGAACTGGCCCGCTTTTTCGTCGATCTGCATGCGCTGATGGGCGCGCTGGACGCCGAGGGCTCTGCAGGCGGCAACCAGAGCGAAGGTGATGTTCTGTGGGGCTGCGTGGCTCTAGTGCAGCACTGCAGCCGTAACCTAGAGGCGCGCCGTGCCATTGTTGATAAGTTCTGCTTTGTGCCACTGCTGGGACTACTCATACGGCGCACCCAGCGGACGGAGCGCGTCTACCGTCTGCTCGTGCTGCTACAGGACCTCACCTACGGCATTCACATCGCTTGGGAGGAGCCCTATCTGGCGGCTCTGCTCGAGCATCTTGTGGAGATTGTGCACGGCTTAGATGGCGGCGAAGGAGGTGCCGGAACCGGGGCAGCCGGCGCAGTCGCGGACGACTCGCACGCCCTGCTTGCCCTCTCCGTGCTGGTGAACCTCTGCTACAAGAACTTTGCCGTGCTGTTTCTCTTTCTGCGCAGTGTCAACATTTCGGCGTTCTGCCGGTGCATCCAGAGCTATGGCCTGCTGGCCTACAAGATGCTCATCATCCTGTCCGAGGACGTGCACGCCTTCGAGCAACGCGAGCTGCACACCTTTCTGCGCACCGCTTTCGCCGGCATCGAGGACTGCCTGAAGCACTCCAATGTGGCCCAGTTGCGGCACATCGTAGACTTCCTGCTGGACTCGCAGTGTCACGCCGGCCTGCACCGGGCGATGCTCTCGCACAGCCACTACTGCGAAGACGTGGAACGGCTGCTGAACGTAAGTAGTGGTGCTGCTGGAGTGCAGCCATGTCAGGCGAACGTTTCTGATTTCATTTTCTGTTCCCTAGCAAATCGAAGCCCGCAATGGCATGGACGATTCGCAGGAGGAGTCACGCAAGCATCAGGCCCTCTGCCTGGACCTGGTCTTCCGCCTCGTCAGCTACATACTGCAACTCTCTGGCGAAGACGAAAATGTCATCAGTCTGGATGCCATTACGCCTCGCCTATACGAAATAGTTAGCGAATGGTTGTCCTCGGAGCTGTGCGGCGTGGCGGCCATAGATTTGCTAACCACCATGATGCGCCTGGGCAAGCAAGCGGCGGTGGCCAAACTTATCGTTCGGGAGCCCACCTCCGTGGTTAACCTGGTGGCCAGCGCCGAGCGGCCAGAAACGAAGCCGGCGCAAGTGGTGGCCATTCTGCGCTTGCTGCTCGTCCTGCTGCCTGAATCGAAGACTGAGAAGCTGGTGCTGGCCAAGATCTCCGAGTCCTACTTTGACAAGATCCTAGCGGCGCCTCTTGCCCTAATGCCGCAGTACCTGAGCACCCAGAGCCTGTCGCCAGCCGAAGTGGAAAAGGCCTGCTTTTGCCTCCTGCTGCTTGTGAATGTCGCTGGCATTGCGAAGAAGGCGTATTTGGACAAATGCTGTACGTTACTGGAGCAGCCACAGCTGCAGTACTGCCTGGCCCGCGGCATGGTCAGCAACAACGAGCCACTGGTTTCGGCCGTCCTGCAGATAGCCCAGTTCGATCACTTTCCCCAGACGGCGGTGGCGAAGCATGTGGCTGGCATCAGCAGTGGTCTCTCGGGAGGTGCGGCTCCAACTGCATGCTCCAGCGACCAGGCGGAGCAGTGGCGCAATCTGAGCTCGATCCTCAAGGGCCACCGCACCTTCACCGACAAGGACATGGCGCAGCGGGTTAACGCATTGCTGGACAGCATAGGCGGCATAGTAAGCCGCAACGAGCTGTCCACTGCTCCCATTTCCCAGGTGATTGAGCTGTATAACCATCGCATTGACAGCCTGAATGGAGCGGCGGTAAACCTAGAGCAGCGCCTGGAACAGGCCGGACAGCAGCTGATCAGCGGCACCCAGCTGGCCCATGTGCAGGCCGCAGAGCTGGAGCGCTTCCAGACCACCAACTTTGAGCTGCTAATTAGCCAGGAGCGGTGAGTACAGGGATTTCCGCTCGGCTAGGATCATAACAATCATCTGCTCATTTTCGAATTGCAGCCTCCAAACACAGTGCAAGGATCTCAAGCATCAGACGGACAAGCTGAAGAGCAACATGACGAATCTACTGAAGCAGCTCTCCGAGAACTCGGCCAGTCTGCAGGCCAACGAACGCCGCCTGGGCGTCAAGAAGTCGGAGATAGCCAGCCTGCGCAAGGACTGCGATGAGTTGCGCCAGAGCCTGAGCGCCAAGAGCGAGGAGTTCACCAAACTGGAGGCCCTCAATAAGGAAAATGTAGGATTTCCCCTTTTCTTCTTGCTGCTGTGATATTTATTCTTTCCTTTTCCTCGTCTCTTTACAGTGTTCCCGCATCGACAAGCTCAAGAAGTCGACGGTGGCCTACGAGCAGGACATCAAGGAAAAGGTGCGAACTATCGAGGAGCGCGAACGGGAGCTGGCCAAGACACACAAGGCTCTGGAGGAGCAGCGTGAGGCGTGCAAGAAGTCCGAGGACCTCATCTCCGTGCTGGAGACACAGCTGCAGGAGCGTAAGCAGCAGATCGAGAACCTCGAAATGGAGCAAAAGGAGACGGAGGACCTGCGCACAACCATCATGAGCCTGATGGAAAGCAAAAAGCCCAAGCGGAAGACCTAAAGTGCCCGCAGGGAATAAAGACCTAGGTTAGCTAATTTTTTAAGGAAAACGCTCATTTTTTAATATTTATATACATTTATTGCGTCTTGCACGTCCAAACATTACAGTACATAATATATAATAATGCAAATTCTGTGCAAGGGTCCATTACAAAGTCCAATTCAACCGATAGTATAAAACAAGAGGGTATAAGCCGGGCGTAAATAGTTTACAAACTACTAAATGTTCGGGCCTTGTGCGGTGTTATCTGCATCTATATCTGTGTCTATATATTATCTTCTGAATTGTGTATATTTTCGTATAAATTTACTAAAAGGTCTGCCAACGACAAACGATCGATCTTTGCGCTTACATCTCTAACACCAGCTCAGCGACTCGCATCGTGGGCCTTGGACTATTATTACTATATCATATCATCGTAAAACGGAATAAAGTGTGGAATATAGCGTACAAAAGGGAGACAATCACAAACAAAAGCAAGAAACATGTGTCCCACTTGGGATATATACATATCTCGGTATATACAGTGCACCAGGTGGAGATGGAGATGGAGATGGTAGCCAGGGAAGAGGTAGCCAGAGCGAGAGTCGCCAGCACCGAAATAACAGCATCAGGCATCGGGCGGAAGCGAGAACTGGGAACTAGGTGGTGGATTGCAGAGCCTTGCGTCCCCTTACGAGCCAAAGTGCTCCTTGTCCTGGTCAATGGGAGCAAACTCGTAGCTGCCACGGCCATCGAACTGCAGGTAGTTGTCATGGTGCACCCAAAGCGACTTGCGATGCGAGACGGTAAAGAGCGTGATGCCCACTTCGCGGCAATAGCTATACATCTTGCCCTCGACATCCACGGAGACGGCACTGGTGCACTCGTCCAGAATGGCGAACTGCGGCCGATGGTAGAAGAGCCGGGCCATGGCAATGCGCTGCTTCTCACCTCCGGACAGCACGTCGATCCAGTCCTCGATGGCATCCAGCCCGTTCTCGCGCTGCTCCAAATAAGTCAGCTGCACAATTTCCAAATAGTGCATGAGATCCTCGTCGCTCTGTCCCATGCGCCGCATATCCTCGCGCGTATGAGGATAGATGATCTATTTTAAGAAAGGGAATTCCAAAGATTAGAAAGTGTTCAATTATTCTCCCATCTACGTACATTTCCTCTTGGGAAACCATTAATATTTTAACATTACAAAGGAGTGGCTTATCTTTGTACAATGAGCCCCAGAGTTAGCCCGAAAAATTCCAGTAAACCTTATCGATTTTGCCACTGATTAATTGTAATTATATCTACGCTAATCGATTTTTAAGACCATGTCTACTCCAAATCGAATTTCCCGGTAAAAACCAAGTCGTAAATCTATTCTTGGAAGCTTGCTTGAGCTCTGGTACTTACCTGGTCACGTAGTGTTCCCAGTGTCATGTAGGGCCTTTGAGGTATGTAGAAGAGCTTGCCGCGCGAAGGCTTCGTCACCTTGCCACCCCACGTGGGCCACAGTTCGCCGAGGATACGGAACAGGGAGGATTTGCCGCAACCGTTGGGACCGCAGACCAGGACATTGGTGCCAGATCTGAAAGGGAAGAGAATCAGGTGAGCATTTAAATTCAGAAACGATTGCATTTTAAAGTCCCTGCCTTTAATGTTTAATAAAATCAAATATAAACGGAATCGCTTTTATAATGCGTGACTTTGTGATCTGACCCCCCACAATTAAGTTGAATTAAGTAATTACCGTGCGACAGAAACGACACAACTCTCACGGGAGACGACCTTTGGCATCATCTACCTAAGTAAGCTGGCTTGTCTATCCGTTAATGAGAATACTAATGGGGAATACCTGTCTAAACTCACGGCAAATAAGTAGTTTTTATAAATATATTTGTGAGCTATAAGATAGTCTAAGTCAAGTGAATAAAGCTTCTCTGCCAGCAGTCGTCACTCATTCATAAACGTGTTTATCGCTCAGTCCGTATAATGAGGTCAAAGATCGCCCAACTACAACGTTCTTTAGACACAAACTATATAATCAGTTAGACTTATGCTTACTTCACTTCAAATGTCAGCTCCTTGAGCAGAACATCACCGTTGGGCGTCACTAGCGGCACCTGTTCGAAGCGGATAATGTTGTCCTCAAAGCACATGATTCCCTTATTCGGACCAAAGCTGCTGGCTGCCCCCGAGCCGCCGGCATTCTGCGTGATGTTGTTGCCATTGACCATGGTGCGCTCATAGGTGCCCTTGTTGAGGTCACTCAGCACCTTGATCAGCTCGGTCATGCGGGCAGTGAAGCCGGCAAGACGGGACATCTCGCGTCCGGCGAGAACCAGGCGTCCGATGGCCTCAGCCAGCTTGACCAGCATGCGTCCGTATGTGTAGTAGGCCTGCAAGCGCTGCCCGCTCTGCTCGCCGGACAGCAGCGGATGGTTGTCCGTGAAGAAGGGAATGGATACCGCATAGAAGCCCACAATCGAGGCGAAGTCTGTGTGTGAATATAGCTTGGATTAGAACAAAGGGGTGGCTTGTTGTGTTTCTTAATGGTCACGTACATTTGCCGATGATGTTGTCGATGATGCCCATGCTGACGCGGAACTCGAGGAACTTGCGCAGATGCGAGCGCAGCTTGGAGTAGCTGGCCAGCAGTGTGAGCTTCTCGCGCACATTGCCCTGGTAGAAGGCCACCTCCTCCGAGTTGGTAATCAGACGGCTATTCACGTACCGGAACTCTCCCTCCAGCTTCTGCTCCTCGACAGTGAGGCGGCCAGTGGGACGGCGCAGGCGTGTTAGAAAAACGCCGGCGAAGAGCAGGTAGAGCATCAGGATCGAGGGCGTCTTGCCGCCCAGGTTCACAGTCAGGCGATACACATAGATGAAGATGTCCAGCACGGGCTTACTGATGTTCGAGTACAGGTCCGTGGCGCTTTCGCAGAACTTGTCAATGTCCGTGGTCAGCAGCTGATCGGCGTTGGCTATCCTGTTGTCCAAATTCGACATTTTGTAGTACGTGTAGCCACTGAAAGTGCAAAAAGAGATTTAGTTAGAGTTTGCAGGAAATGGAAATGGAAATGTATTATAATTGTTAGGTAAAAATGCATTGCCTGCGAGCATTGCATGGTCTGTTTAACTCCGTTTAAATCTTTGCTCAGGTGAAACCCGTACTATATATTTATTTCCAACTATATTATCATTAAAAGTGATACAAATTACCATAAGGTAACAAATACGGAGGAGTACGAGAAAGACTTGGTATCTATGTATATTAGTTTTATTATTATTACTCTTATAAAAGGTTAGTCAAGTATTTGATGTCTGAAACAAATATTCATTCAACAAGTTAGACTTGTTTCAGACATTTACATATATACTTTATATATATACTCACTTTAGGTACTGACTGTACAGGTGATGTGTGAGGTTTGTTCGGAAGCGAAGCTTCAGCTCACCAAGACTCCACTTGAGGACGTTGGTCACCACGGAGATCTGCAAGAATTAAGGCTTTTGTTAATGCTTTCTCCCAAGTTTAGTTAATATATGCGAGGACTTACCGCAGGAAGAGCTGTCAGATACTTGAGAAGTGCCGTCTTGAACTTGGCCCGATTCATGTGGATAATGGTGCTCTCCACCACAGTTGCATTCTGGATCATCCAGATATCGCTTACGGAGCGTCCAATTAGGGCAGCGGCAACCAGGAACAGCAGTCCCGTCTCCACACTCCAAAAGCCCGGAATGAGGATGGCTAAAAGGGCGTTGTAGATCACGATAAGAATTTGCTTTAAGATAAGAAAAAGATCTACTTACGGAGCAGCTGGCGGAGCTGTTTGAAGAATACTGAATTGACATGGGCCTTGCCCGCCTTCTTCTCCTTCTTCTCGGCAATTGTGTACTGGATCTTGTCCTCATAGCCGGATTTCCTGAAATTAGACAAGGATTGGTAAATGTTAGCATTAATATAGATGCAATATCTAAAGTGGAGGCATGAGTAGTTGTCTGACCCCATATATATTTGCATATTAACCCTTGCCAGCCAAGTCAGGTTAATTAATACGCCAACGCTTCACTCAATATTTTTGCCAATAAAGATATTTTTGCACTTTTGCCGAGCAGGTGATGAAGATGATCCATGACAAGTGGAAATTCTCCCCCTTTGCCATCCAAGAGTGTTAATACCAATCCACAGATAGCAGATAGCAACAATTGGTAACGTTTAGGCATTAGACCCACTGGCAGCGGCTAAGGTATATTGATATGTCTGATATTTTATCAGAAATGAGTCATATTTAAGCCAAATGGAGGGTAGAATGAATAACACAATCATTTATGATAAGTGCAGTACAATGAAAGTAGTATTAACAAAGAATAGCCTTTGTTTCCTTTTTAGTTTGCCAAAGGAAGATGCATTAAAAACTGAATCCTAGAAGGAATCCTTTCATAAGCCTCTATGATAACCTAAACTAATGGCTCTATAGATACCTATTAAGCTCAAACAATCACTACGATTAAAAACTTATTATATGACCCTGTTGGTAAATGGGAAAGCTATCCAGGTAGCTGACCACCTCAACACGGACGCTTGGCTGCCTAATGAGGCATTTCATCAGCCACATCTAGATGTAGCCGGGCAAAGGGCAACACATTGATCGATGCAGTCCGTCGATGCGGTGCTGGGTGCTGGGGCAATGAGGAGGTGGAGGTACTTGGGGTGTTGGTATGTTGCTTGCCCAAAACAAAGTACAAAGCTCGAGCGACTTGGTTATCTGGCGCGGGGAAAAAGCGACGAGTCGCGATGACATGGCCATTTCTTGGATTCCGCATTGGCGGTGACTCTCTAAATTATTCATAGTTGCTCTTGTATTTATTTATTTATATATATATCTGTCTATCTATCTATCTATTGGTCTCTCTTGGGCATGGCTTTCCTTATTTTGAAATCCGTGTATTAAACTTGTTTTCACCGCCTGCGCGTGGAACATGTGTTTGGGTCCATAGGTCACTCCAGTAGTTTCCCCAACACCTCTCTCTCTCATGCATGAGTCTCTCTCTCTCTCTCTCTTTGTTTGCCACTACTGTCTCCAATCTGGACAGAGCTTATCGCCACGATCGCCCAATGGCGGGGGGCACATTGAACCCAAACACGAGATGATCGAAACGCTTTGATTCGACGGGACAAGCTCGCTGACTCAGATATGCGATTTGGTTTGTCCAAAGTTCAGAGCTTCTTCTTCAGTGCCACCCAACCCCAAATGGGCGTGTGAGTGTGTGTGTGTATCTACAGCTGTTATCGCCCACGTTAGATACATTCATTATCACCTGCCGGCTGGGAGAGAGCGGCTGTAACGTGGCAGACCGACGACCACCAGCAGGTGCAAAATGTCAGGAAATCTGCATTTAAATAGCTTTATAATTTTAAGCGGCAATTACACAAATTGTGACTGCCATTTGGGCCCAGAAAAGCAATTAACAGGGCCAAGCGTAGCGTAGGGCGGGTTTACTGGGGGGCACAAGGTGGGAGTACCTTAAAGCCGAAAGAATCCAACTCTTTTCGGTTCTCGGATTTTCGGATTCTCCTATTGCGCAACACTCACTGAGGAAGGTAAGGTAAGGTAAGTGCGAGACGGTGCCCGGTAAACACCAATTAACATTCATTCTCAATGCATAGTCAGCAACCTCAAAACCCGGCGACACCTAAGGGTGTCGTTCGGTGAGACAAAAACAAAAGAAATTGAATGAGAAATGTAGGTAAACTCCAAGCCGAAGTGTGTATGCTCTATTGGTACATATCAATTAATATAATTCTCTAACTTTAAGTCATGTACATACGTAATTATTTAATGGGTTTTGTTATTATCTCCACCAATCTTGAATGATATATCTTATAGCTCATCATAAGTACCCCTTGGTTTGGGCATACAGTCGAGACGTAACGTAACGTAATGAAACGAAACGAAACGAAACCTGAACCGGAATTTGTCGTTTTATGGTTACCAGTGGCACTGGGCGTCTCTCCAGTCTCCCAGTCTCCCAGTCCCAGACCCACTGTCCGTTCAGAGTCATTAAAATGTAAGGTTATAATGTTTATGTTTGATACTCAGGAGTCGAGTGTCGTCGGGGTGTCATCAAATAATGACGTTGGGGTACTACTGTGGGTAACTACCGCATGTAAAGTGTGTTGCAATGGCCTAAGGTAAACTGCCCACCGTTTAAGTGCCGATGGATTTCCTAGTTGTGTTGTGGACTTTCGGAGATTTGCATAGACATATAGTGGGAATCGGGGATGCCCTTCGGAAAGCACCCAGCGCCCACTCAAGTACATGCCATTATCATAATGTCAAAGTTATAGTAGGGATAGATAACACATGAGTTAAGAAACTGGGAAACTCAAGTTATCTTTGCAGTAAAATTATTATTAAGGGGGAACCTAAAGATTTAAACTAATTACTAGAGTGTAAGCAAGGTAAATGGGTATAGTTATGGTATGGTATAAGGAATAGAACCTAATGATCTTTCAGATCTTCTCCCAACTCCTTTGCTCTCTAAAGCGACTAACTAACTATTCAAATTGAACACAATTACTTTCATTTTAAAGCTACATAAAAAAGAGAAAGTATATATTAATCTTTTCAGTTTTAAATTCGATATGGTTTGCAGAACAATATTAAATTGGGATTTGGAACCAATATGGCTTATACAGTCCAGTGCAGGGCAATCGAATATGCAACGTCGTATAAATTTGCACAAGTTGCAATAACAACAACAGCAGCAATACCATTGCCACAACAACAGGCACAGCCAACCGACAGACAGACAGTCCGTAGCCCATTAAAAATCTTTCATTTCGATTGCTTTCCAAAGTGCAGAGCTCCGCACTGGAGCACAGGTCTCGATACGGGACTAAGGAGTACGGGTACGACTACCTCCGCTGTTGCAATGCAGAAAAGGTGCGGACAATGCTGGTTAACAATTCCGGTTGCTGATATCCGTATAATCGCAGCCATTATCGAGTGGTTACGATGTACTAACCACCACTACAACCACCATGACCATCGCACGCGTCGTCCACAATCTCTCTAATTAATTGCTTCTGTCATGCAAATGGACTTGCTACAGAGACCCATTCGGTTGATTCAATTAGAGATCGCCTGGATGGATGGATTGGTTGATGGACAATTGGTTGGGATGGGTGTTCCATGGCATGGCCTGTCACCATGCCAAACCCTGTACTGGGTCAAATATAGTTGGCATGGGCGCGATAATAACAATATAATCGTTCCCGATAGCGAATGAGTTGCGTATAATAATCGGTCGTCTGGGGCGATACAGAGATTAGATTATGGCAAGTCCGACCACAAAGACCAAGTCCATCCATCCATCCAACGTTCCAATCAACCAAACATCGAAACGTGTCCCCGCACTGCAGTTGGGATTGTAAATTGCCGATTGGGAAACTTTGAACAGCCATCGACGGGCAGCAGAGTGACGGTCCACTTCTTGCGACACCTGTCCGCATCCGCAGCCACTGAGTGGTCGCTTGGTGGAGTGCACTGGAGTGTAGCTGGGAGTGCTGGCACTCCAGGCGGCGACCAGTGAAAGCCTCCCTAATCGCTATGAAACATTGTCTTGGGGCAGAGCACTTTCCTCTTTAAACTGCACTGAATGTGGACGGGGACAACAGGTTGATCTATCTATATTTTCTGGGATTAACAAACCAATATTATTACCAATTGGGTTTTATAAAAAAACTAGTATAAGTATTACTATTAATATGGACTTGGGTCTGGTAGAGTTTGGTGACTTGTCGTAAGTTAAACTTTGTAATATTATAGAATTAATCTGGTTAATTGGTCTATTGTCATCTCATTGAAACTGGACTTCAAAAGGCATAGATCTCTTAATTTGGCAATGCAGTTTTACGATTTATTATAATAACTTTTTAATTGATTTATTATACCCTTTCAGGGTATTACAATTTCAGTCAGAAGACTGCAAAGTAGTGAAGGAATCATTTGCGACCCTATAAATCATATATATTCTAGATCAGCATCAACAGGCGAATCTTTCTAGGTATCTCCAGCGAAAAAAATTTTTTTTAAATTTTTTTAAAATTTTATAAGGGGTTATATCGTTAAAATTAAAAAAAAATCGATTAAAAATTGAATTTTTTTAAATATTAAAATTAGTATGCAGATTTATTAGCCTTAAAAAAACTAACACAAAACTGTTTTCAGAATCAAAATTAATGCATTTTTGGCTTAGTTATGATCAATTGAAACTGCAAAGGTATTCAAACTTTAGCTTTCTCGTTTCCCATATTATATCTAGTCAAGCCACTAATATTTGCGGCAGTTCTTTCTATTTCTAGCAAGAATAAAAATGTTTTTGTATAATAAAATTGTGATATAGAAAGTAGAATTAAAAAGAAAGCAAGTTTAAAAACCTGAATCCATACAAAAATCTGTTAAAATTTCATCATCGAATAATGTAACTTAAGACCGGGAATTATCTCCACTCTGCTGGTTATCCTTGGGCGGGAGTGGAAGTGGAAATGTGAGCGGGATTTGGACGTATGGAAACCGGAATAAAGCGAATGGGAAGTGTGCATCTAGTGCGTGAAAAAAACCAGTTTGGAAGCCACCAGGTGACCCACTAAGGCATCGTACGATCCACGCACATATGCTGCAGCACGAGCAGCTGGAGCACAGTGGAGCCGGTGGAGTCACTGCCAAGTGCAGTGGGCAAATAAATCACAAACCACACACACACACATACACTTCAATGTCAGGAGAATTTTCGGAGGTCACAGCCGCAAACGCAAACGCGAATGCGAACGCAAGTGTGGCCGCGACCGAGACCTTCCTCAACGTGGCTAGCGGGTCAGGAGGGTATGGGAATGGATTACCATTACGATTACGCTGGCAATTACTCACCTCTTCTTGTTGGACATCTTGCCGTAGGCAATTATCCAGAGGGCCGCCGTCATGCCCGCCACGCCGACGATGGCGCTCTGGTTGTTGGCCAGTTTGCTCAGAGCCGGTGCCATGATTATGATGATGTTGCTCGCCTCGCTGCGACTTTATTTGGAATTCGCGTGTGCTTTGGGCTTCCGCTTTGCGCAGATTCGTTTGGAGTTAGTTGGCAACGATTCCGCTGATACCGCACGTGGATACCGCACACAGCGAAAGAGTACACACACAAAAAAAAGAGCCAGCAGGCACTGGGATTCGCACTAGTTTTCTATTATTGTTTATTGCTCGATTTTCGATATGTTGGCGAGTGGCACACACGCGAACGCACACGGACACGGGACAGGGGACGCAGTGGAGAGCAGGATGTAAACACACCTGGTTCGACTCGTCCTCACACTGGCACTCTCTCTCTCTCTCTCTCTCTTGCTCGCACTCACTCGCTGGCTGCCACAGCCTAACTGTTCACACACCTTGCTGCTGCTGCTCCTGCTGCTGCGTATTCTTCTGCTGCCGCTCCTTTCCTGCTGATCGGAGGGGGAGGTGGACTGGGAGTGAGTGTCATACGCTGCGGCCGCTTTTATTTATTCAATTCTCGCCAGGCGCATCGCTTTGTTTGGTAATTACACGACAAGCTCGCTCACTCGCTCGCTTCTTCTTCTCGGTTCGATGGTGCGATACCGATCCAACCCTTCGCTTCAACAAAAAAAAACCGTTTGAAACTAGAGCTGGGTAACTTAGAGGTAGCTGGTGCGAAACCGAGCCACTAGGGATGTGCACCTATCGATAATTTTTATAAAAGTAAATAAATATTGTGATTTCTTAAATCGGTGTATTTATAATATAATTTAAAAATTATATTCACCAATTTCACTGGGCCTGGATTTTCTTTTATTCAGTTTCAGTACAATAATTAAATTTCCTTAATTTTAAGGTATATGAACTAAAGGTAGTTTGTACAATAGTGCATGTTCCCTTGATGTCTGACACAATCAAAATGTGATTGAACAAATATGGCCATTAAGTCTATAAACTTTTGGCTTTTTCATTTATCAGTCTGAAGCATGAATTAAGTAATCTGCGCTGCCTCTGTATCAAAAACAATTTAAATTATTAATTATACAAGAGCCAAGAAAAATTGTGTTATGATATCGCGATAGTAACTAGTAATCGATAGTGTGAATGTGGAACTTATCGATAGAGCTATGGTGTTTTGAAAGCACAGATTCTACCTCTTCCTGAAGCGGCACTTTTTCCTATTTTTTTTGCAAAACAAAGCGAACGAAAATTGTAAGTATTTCCAATTATTATCAAATTAGATTGCTAAGCTTGACCTTGCACTTTGCCAGGTGTCCGATTCCCATTTGTCTCTCCAGTTTGTGACAAACGACGGAGAGCTAGAAAGAGAGAAGGTCCACTTGGCATTTTGTTAAAATACAAATATTCGCAATGGCTGCGCAGCCCAGTCCCCTAATGAATCCCCAGCAGCAACAGCAGCAGAGCGAACAGGAGAAGGTGAGCCACGCTCGTGATTGCCAATTGCAAGATGATCAAGCTGACTCACTCCCCCCTCTGTCCTTCTCCGCCAGGTGTACCAATGGATCAACGAACTGGCGCACCCAGACACGCGTGAGAATGCTCTGCTGGAGCTAAGCAAGAAACGTGAGACCGACTTGGCCCCTTTGCTGTGGAGCAGCTTCGGGACGGCCAGCGCTTTGCTGCAAGAGATCGTCAACATTTATCCGGCTATAACGCCGCCAACCATGACTGCACATCAGTCCAATCGTGTGTGCAACGCACTGGCCCTGCTGCAGTGCGTCGCCTCGCACCCGGAGACGCGCTCGGCCTTCCTTGCGGCCCAGATACCGCTCTACTTGTACCCCTTTCTGTCGACCAGCTCCAAGACCAGGCCCTTTGAGTACCTACGCCTCACCAGCCTGGGCGTAATTGGAGCTCTGGTGAAGACCGACGAGCAAGAGGTAATCACGTTCCTACTGACCACCGAGATCGTTCCCCTCTGCCTCAGTATCATGGACAGCGGCTCGGAGCTGAGCAAGACCGTGGCCACGTTCATCATCCAGAAGATACTGCTTGACGAATCAGGTCTGTCCTACATCTGCCAGACCTACGAACGCTTCTCTCATGTGGCCATCACCCTGGTGAGTATCCTGGGATCCACTACTCGTAACATTATTAACCTTAGCCCTTTCCGCTGTTTCAGGGCAAAATGGTCATTCAGCTCTCGAAGGACCCGTGCGCTCGCCTTTTAAAGCACGTTGTGCGTTGCTATCTGCGCCTCTCGGACAACACTCGGTACGTATTGGTGGAGTTAACTCGACACCATAAACTACAACTCTCCTCCATTTCACAGCGCCCGCAAGGCCCTGGGCCAGTGTCTGCCCGATCAGCTACGTGACGGCACCTTTGCCTTGTGCCTCCAGGACGACAAGACCACCAAACAGTGGCTGCAGATGCTACTGAAAAATCTGGAGCTAGGTGCCACACCGCAGCAGATCGGTATGTCGCCACTGGGCTCCTAGATCCCTGCACTTATCCATCCGACTCACAAGCGCGCTCTTCGTAAGTATTGCCTAAACTTCCGTGTTGCTCCCTAACGACTGGGACTTCATCGGAAAGTGGCCGTTGTTTCTTAAAAATTTGCATGAGATTGCCAAAGTCTCTATTACAATCAGAACTGAGAAAAATTATGTTTAACTATGTTATTATAGGTCCCCTGATATCTTATAAACTACAAAGTAAATAAAGAAAATCGATCATGTTATAAAGTTTAGGAAAAGTGCTGTGTGTTAGATTACGAAGAAAGCTCACAGATCATTTATACATTATGATAACCTTTGCTTTTATTTAACAGCTTTATAAATGGCTTATAATTTAAATTAATTCAAACGAAAGAACAAAAATATGTGTGTGAGCGCCAAATTTAAAATAACGTTGATCCAAATAGTTGTAGACAATAATAAGAATGCTCGAGATAATCGTGACTAAGCTAAGATGGCAACCATGCCTGGAGGGATCCGTGTCATCCTTGTACGTGGCTTCTGGCCACGGTTCCAAAATTTCTTGCAGCTAAATCTTTTTAGTCCCGATGGCTTCGGTGCGTTCTCGACTCGATTGGCTGCCTGATTTGAGGATGCTGGACACCAGTTATCTGCGGGATCAAAGGCGCTGTGTTGCTTCTTTTTCTTAAGTTGCTTATCTCTCTGAATAGCGATGAATGAGGGAGCTTTCCTTTGGTAATTACTATATGATGGACATTTCGGGGATTTCTCTGGTTTCTTCTTTGGGGCAGGACAACATTTATTCGGAACTGTTGGCTTCGGGTTCTGCTGATGACACAAATCGGGTGAGCGAGTCAGCACCTCATTTTCCATGTGGTTAAGGATTTGTAGAGTAAAAAGAACATGCTGCTTGGTGTCCATAATAATTTGCAATATCATTTTTGCCGTTTTCGGATTCAGTGGCCGGATTTTGGGTTTCTGTTGGCTTTTGTTGCACTGGTCTCTACTGGGCTGTGGCTTCGGAGTGGGCGGAGGAGCCGTTGGCTTTTGCGAATAGGGACAGGTGGGTCTGTCTGTGGTTGAGCCTTGACAAACCGGACGTTTTGAAGGAGGTGCCGAAATGCGGCAATATTGGTTCTTGATGCTTGACATATCATGGGGCTTAGCCTTTCGACCTTTGCTCCACGGAAAGCTAATCATCCGCTTGAAGTCCAGCTCGTTTGCAGGGTTTTCATTAACTTTCTCGATTAGCGGCAAGTACTCCCATGGGTCGAAGAAGCCCTCCTTGGAATTGCCAGAGTAGGTCTGTCTGGGCATCTGGTCAGAGCTTATTTTTGATTCAATATTGACGTCCTCGGGCAGATTGTAATAGTCCAGTGTCTGGCTCAGATCGGGGTCCTCCAATGGCTGTAACATTAATATATCGGGATCGTTATGATACTCTAATTCTTGGAACTCGCTATGATCGGTCTGGTCAGGGCTCCATGAATCGTCCGATTCGGGGGATTCATAATCCTCATCCTCTTGTGGTGGGCCGGCCGATGGTACAACGTAAGTCACAAGTACCAGTGCCAGCAGGGTGGCTTTCATTGTTCTTATTAGCAGCATCCTCTCGAATCGTTCGCTCAGTCGATGCTAGTAAAATACGATATATTATCAGTCACATCAATGACATTTCAAACTGAACAACTTACTGAAAACCCGAGACAGATAGATGCAACCTACTCCGATCTTAAAAAAAGGGAACATCCTTGATTAATATCACAAACTCGAGCTCTGTGGTTAATTCACATATTTCTTATAACCCTACTCAGCACCAATATCATATCATTATTAAGAGTCTAGATGGTTCCCTAAGCTTATCGAGTGTCGGGTCTGGGTCTGGTCTCCCCGCTTATCAAAATTTGGGTCACCGTACAGGCTTTCGCTTTGCCCGTGACGCGACAGAAAAGGGTCGCCCAGTCTCTGTCCCTATCCCATTCCATTTTACGCTTATCTAGTATCAGATAACGTAGATAAGGTCAGTGAGAGTGCACAATGCGGCGAGGCTTATAACAAATTTGGTGTATTTTCTAACTCATCATAGCCAGCGAAGCATTAACAAAGGACCTTTCATGTCTCGTTCTTCTACAATTAAATTTGATCATACGCCGACGCAGGCCCCGACCGGACCCAACCCGGGTGCTGGGAATGCGGTAAGGAAAGATAACCGGCTCCCCGGGAACAGGACAAAGGTCTCAGGTCGCAGGGCACATAATTAATAGCAATCCGTCGCCGAGCAGCAGTAGCGCCTTTCGGGATAACACAGTTTTGTAATAGTTGGTGTCGAGCAATACATTTGGGGACAAGTCAGGTCAACATGGGTAACGAGGACGGCGATCGGTTGCTGCTACTGCCACAACAACTGTGCAAGACAGCGGCCTAGTCGCAGGAACCGTCCAGCCAGCCGTCGCGCCACCTCTCGTTCACTTTGCTGCAGTCGAAGAGTGGCTTGCCAAGCTTGTCGTTGACCCTGTTGTGGAACTTGCACAGCCACAAAGAGAGCTCCTTCTGTGAACTGACGTTGATGGGATTCACGTCCAGGCTGCAAGGTGGGAGAAAACCAAGGGTCAGTTACGTATTCGGGCAATTGATAGGCACTTACTCTGTGCGGAAGTCCTTGGCGCAGAATTCGCAGGGATAGAGCCGCGAGAGCACCTCGAAGAAGTTCTTCATGTCTCGCTTTTCGTTGTCCGTCGGGTTGTCCGAGTAAAAGGCGGCCATCGTGTGGAGGAGGCCCCAGGTGGAAATGCCCAGTCGCACCTTGTCCAGCGGACAGTCATCGCGTGCCAAATCGGCCGCATTTACGGTATTCTGCTCGGTGGCGGCCATGTGCTTCACCTGTTAGGAAGATTCATACGGATTTAGCATGGTAGCAGATGAGATACAGCAACACGTTACCTTTGCACTCTGCACGTTTGAGAAGAGTCGCTGCTGCTTGGACCACGACTTGAAGTCGTTGCACGTGCGACAATTCGAGTCCTGCTGACTGGTGCCCTTGCGATTGGCCCCAAAGGACGACTCCTCGTATGCCTGCTGGGGCTGCGCGTCGCTCTGTTTGCTTGCTTTGGGTGTGGAGCGCTGGAACGAGGGACTGGGCTCTGACATGCCGAATTCGGAATCCCGGATGAGGCGGAGCACGGTGCGTTGTATGCGTCTGATTATCAGGCGGGTGGCCTCCCGACTGAGTTCTATGTGCGTGGGGCTGATGAAGTCGTAGCCGTAGCTGTGACTGCGGCGTCGCACAAGGTGTGTACTGGAGAAGTCTAGAATCTTGAAACTTCGCTCGGCTATTGTGAAAATCATAAAAAGTATGCGCATGCTTGCCACCTTGTTTCAAAACGACATAATTTGTAGTACATGAGATTGTCAGTTAATTTTGCTGTGGATGGAATCCAGCTAGAACTGGAATACCTGCCGGCCAGAAATATTGTTTTGGATGAATATCAGTGGCGTAAGGAGTTATTATTTAAGTCCAGGCGACCGAAATTTTATTAAAATTTATTGAGAGTACAATAAGGTGGCAGCTTCATTCCTGCTGTGATCGATAAGCAAATAATCGATAAAGGCAGGCGCGCAAACGCCACTATTTCAAATGAGTGAAGCGACAAGCTTCGAAATACGAAGGGGGACGGCAACCAAACTTACATGTGAATAATCTGCTGTACAGCCCCAGGTAAATTTAGCGCCTTAAAAAGTTGTAAATTAGAGGAACACATGTGCAGCTCAGGGCAATGTTTATTGATTTTTTGAATCCAAACTTTTTTTTGAACGTTTTGGCCTATATACACAATACAATTTTTGAACACTTACATTTACAGGTGTGGAATCTGGTGACGTAATGTGCAAAAGCTCTGTGTGCTCGATTTGATAGCACATATTCTCGTTTATTGTGTATTAATACAGTAAATTCATTTAGTAACAACTACTACGGCTGGTACGTGAGTAAGACAAGTTAACAACTGGCCGTCGGTTTGGGTTAGCTGCGCCCCACTCCGCCCAAGTTGCCTGGGGAGGACTGATGAGAGGGGCGAGGAGCAGTGGTTAGACATAACATACGACATACATAAATAATCGTCCGTTAGAAGGCACATAAATTACGCGTGTAAACATTACAAAAAATTAATATAAAATGTGAAATTGGCATCGATCGGTGGCTAACCGACTCTGGCTCAGGCGTAGTCTCTAAACATGGTGAACAGACTGTAGAGGACGCGTAGGGTGGACTTCAGATCCATGTTGACAATGTCCTCCGGTCGCGCCTTTGGCTTGGGCAGGCCCACGTCCTGCATCAAGTCGAATGCGAAGGCCACGTTGCTCACCATTTGGTCGACGTCCTGGGGCGTCAAATGGAACTCGTGCAGCGGCACAAAGAAGCCACCAAGCAGCCCCATTAGCAGGCATAAGTAGACGCCGTCGCGAAAGTCCGTGTTCAGGTCGTTAATCTCGAAGTTAAGCTTGGCCAAATGCTTGTTTACGAACGTAATCAGTGACTTCTTTACCACGGCCAACTTGTCGGGCGCGCAGTCGATCAGGGTATCGAAGGCATCCTTCTCGCAGCGCATGCCCAGGTCATCGTATTCGGAAGTGATTTGCTCCTGGAATTTCTGAGCGTTCAGCACGCCAGCATTCTTCTCCGCAATCACCACAGTTACGAACACGTTCTCCGGCAGACGGACGGGTGCCCGGAAATGGCGCACCAGTGCCACCAGAAGATGCAGGATGGCGACAATGTTCTTGGAGTGCACGCTGGCCACCGACCATTTGGGTATCTTCTGATGGAAACCCAGTGTCTGCGGGGAAACAAGGATTAGTAAGGGACACGGATAGGGTAATTAGACCCCTGAACAAAGCGAATTCAGACTCAGTATCCTTCGCCTTTTCCACTCACGTGATTGACCGCCTTGAGGACAATGTTGAGCTTCTCGTGCTGACCCTGCTCGGATTGCGTGACCTCCGGTACGTCCAGCTTCTTGCCGGTGAGCTTCTCCAGAGCTTATGCAGCACCTGGCCGTCATACATGTCCTCCTCCAGCTGCTGGACGATGATGCGCTGCTCGGCCAGCGTGTCGTTGATCCAGTCGACGAGAATGCGCTGCAGTTTGATCACCTCCGGTTCGTTGATAGACTGAGGATCGATGACAGCGCGCTGCTCGTGTTCGCCTGCAAGTATATTGGGTATATAAACTGTCACTTATGCAGATCTAGATGCATATGTACTTACGCAAGGCGTAATCCTCGGGCGGGATGTCATATTGACTGGGCGATCCGGGTGAGTCGATGGCGTACTTGCCCTCCTCCTGGACTTTCTTCACTGCAAGATGAAGCAAACAGCAGAGGGACAGAGTGAGGGGTGGTAACATGGTAAACAACGATGACGACACAAGGCCGCAGCGCTTTGTTTGTTTGTGTGCGTCATCAGTGACGCAATGTTCTTATTTAGCAGAGCATCCGCACATCTGTTCCCAGAAACGTTCCCGGAATGACCATAGGGACGTTTTCGGACTGCTTTTCGGTCAGATTCCGTTTGCTGAAGGCACAACTGTGCCCTGGACCAGTCACACCGCATCTACAGGCTCGGATAGAACCCTTTTGGGAGCTCGAAGCCCAACAACAGTGTACAAACCTTCGCGGGTGCCGCGTTTGCGTCCCAGGGTGCTGAATTTGTCCCAGAAGCTGTCCTCCTTCTCGCCCTTTTTGATGGCCGTGGGCGTATGCGGGGACTTTGGTCTGTTCAGCGTGGACATGGCTCAAAACGGAGGCGAAACGAGCAGTAAGTTGCTAACAATTAATTTAGGCAGGCACTCTGTGTTATTGTTTCTGGCGATTTCCCTTGGGGCTGCCACCTAGTCAACAGCCTAACTCTGGCGTTGTCCAACACTGAAACTCGGACTCGCCCCCAAAACCGAAATCCTATAAAAGAATTTTAGAATGCATGATGATTATCCCTATTTCCAGGAATATTTTAATGCAACCCTACTCCAGGCTTCAGTAAACCACTCCCACTTCCCCAATAATCAAATATTCACGGCTTTGGTAGTACTATAAAGATATCTTATTGATCAAATCAGAGGCGATACTAGGCTTTATAATTAAATAGAGTTGGGAAGCTGGCAGGCACGCACCGCCACGAGCTGCAGGAGCACGAAGATCGGCGAGAAAACCTCCGAGTACTCGAGGCCCATTTTGCTGGACAGCTTCAGGCAGAGCAGGTACTTGAAGATGACAATCAGCACTAGGAAGTAGGTGCTCCACATGAAGCGGTGCAAGGCCTTGCGCTTGTTGTCGGAGTCCAGGTACATGCGGATGCCCACTATGACGCAGAAGTACGCGTTGCAGATGTCGATGAAGAACAGTGGGCTGAAGATAGTGAACCAATCCTCCGTGGGCTCCTGCTGGATGCCATTGAGTCCAGCCATGCTGTTTCCTGGGCTCTCGCCCGACAGCTTAATGGCCAGTGTGATGGTAAACACAAGCAGCCCGCATAGGTTCACCAGGATCTCGAACTCGGTGAGCCCGAGCCAGCGTACCAGCTCCGATAGCTTGAACATTGCTTCCCAATTCGTCCTCCTTCACCTACTGCTCCCTATTGTCTGGCCTTCCCCGCCTTTCCTCGAAACTGTTGCGACTGCTCTGGAACGACGATGTCGAAGAGGCTGCGGTTGAAGATCTTGATGTGCAGGGCAGAGTTGTTGCGCTGTCGGAAAGTCACGTCCTCTGCATCGCACAGCGGATGGAGCTCGTCCACCAGCTGAATGGTGGAAGTGTTGATGGCGTAGCTAAGAGCTCCGTCAGAGTTGTGGATGAGCCGCAGAGCTAGGTTGAGGCCGCGCGTGATCGAGAAGCCCATACAATGCAGGAAGATCTCCTTAGCGCCGGAGTTCAGCAGCTCCTCGCATCGCCGCTGCTGGGCCTGCAGGGAGTAGATATAACGAGTGTGAGGTCAGGATAGCCTTGTGGACGCCATGGAGGAGCAAGCACTTGCCTTAAAGTCCGTTTTACTGGTGATGTAGATGTTGTGTCGGTCACTGGTGGGTCGCGGCGGCTGCTTGCGTACTACCCGGTGGTTGTGCCCAGGACGGTTGTCTCGCTGACGGTTGGATCTTGGCTTGGCCCCGTGCTCGGGTGGATTGCTTCCCATCATCGGCGGCGGAGGAGACAAGAGAGGTCAGTTCTCCATTTGCTGCCTGCGCGTGTCACAGATACAATTCGCTTCACGAACGGCGTTTTTCAACACTATGTGGCAGAGATCTGGCAGCCCGGCACTAGCTGTCAGCATGACAGAAGTCGATAGTTACGGCCTACCATCACTATTTCTATCGTCAGGGACTCGTGAAATTCTCGACAGTTGAAAATTTTTCGTCGTACTCTCAGAACAACAAAGGTATGTTTTTCGCACTGAAATCGCAAGGGCTTGCATTTGCAAGCACACCAGACCGTAAGCCAAGGCACCGATCGACTCGAGTGCTGCCCTCTTGCCACCCAAAAACAAATACACCCTCGACGGCCCAGCCATACGCCATATTCGTTCGCAATTAGTAATCCGTAATTCGTACCGTAACTCGTAACCACACTCACACAAGCACACACCAACACTCGCACATACACACAGACTAACACTTCTGCTGGCCAGGCTCTTTTCGGGCAGCAGGAAAAAAAAGTGCAAATTACATAACTCGTTGGTTCTGAGGCATTATAAGTGGGCTCACTCGGCGTTTCGTCGTCCGCCGTCCGCATCCGTAAGCGTAAGTTGCCCCCTAATCCCCTCAACCGTGCGGAACCAAGCGGCGCCGAGTGTTCCCCGGGTTACATAAGTCTCCATAAATATGTACCTTTTGGGGGCGGAAAAGGGGGTGGGAGGGCTTTGTATATCCCTAACCACAAACGTAGCAAGAAAGACAAACCAAAACCCCCTGCACCGCGTCCTGGTTCGAGTAACGTCTTGTATTCATGCGTTCAAGTCATTTTTCCATGCAGGCGATTCCGAAAATCCGATACGTTTCAGAGTCCCCAAGTTAAGCAGGCAAGCAAACAAGCACAAAGCACAAGAAATCACAAGACCGGACTTGATTCGCTCCGGATGCAGCATCAGTAGCAGCGAGCAGCAGAAGCGAGGAGCGAGGCGCCATCGCGGAGAAGCAGCATCGGCACAACGCAGCGGACATCGTAAACAAGTAAATTACCATTTCTCAAACATTTCTATCAAACAGATAACTGCAAGCCAAAGTACCAAATCAAATCCAATCCAAACCAAGCATCCAAATGCGAATCTCAATCCGAACGTATCCAAATTGCATAAGAATCGGGTTGCGTAGGAGCATGTCCGCCTTCCTTGTTGCCTGGCCACTTGGCTGGAGCCGCAGCTCCTGTCCAAACCCGATACCCGGTCTGCAATACACAAAGCGATCCGGATTCGATCAAGGAGCCAGCGCCAGCCAAGTCAAGTCGGGCCGGGAAAGTACATTAGCTCTCTAGATTTTCGAATATCAATTCTCGATCATCGATTCTCTATTCTGACAGCAGCCAAAGCGAGCATGTCAAAGCTTTCATTGCAATCAACAGCAAGGTACTAGAGAAAAGAACAGAAAAGAAGGCAAAGAAAATGCAAAATACTGTTTTGTGTATATAGGTATTCCGTAAACGCGATTCTGCCAACTGATCGATTTAACGCGGCACAGTTTCGAATTGCAGATCATCACGTCCGCACCCGATATGTCGGCAGCCCGCTTGCCCTACTATCAGCAGGATCTGCAGGACCAGCCGGATGGGCAGCAGCAGCAGCGCCGCGCCGGTCGTGGCCAGCACCGCGGCTACTACGAGCAGCGTGAATCTGGATCCCGGCGTGAGCGCAGCCGCTCCACGGAACGCTACAGCCGACGCTACAGTCGGAGCCGTTCTTACTCCCGTAGCCGCAGTCGCTCCGCGGAGCGCTCCTCCGGCCAACGTCGACGGCGTGATGACCGCCGGCAGCAGCAGTCACGCTATCATCGGGACCGCGACTCGAGGGATCGCTCCAGAGACCGCTCAAGGGATCGTGAACGTGAACGTGAACGTGATCGTGACTACTTCAGGCGGTCAAACAACCACCGTCGCTCGGAGTCGCCTGGCTTTGGACCCAGCAGCAGCTCCAGCCAGCGGAGGGGCACTTACGGCGCATCCTCCATTGGCAGAGCCGAAATGAATGCCGTATACAAGGCTGCCGCAGCCGCAAGCGCAGCTGCCGAACAGGCCCAGATGGGCGGAAAAGCTGGCTCCAGTTCCGTCGCAGCTGCCGTGGGTGCCTACTACAATCTAGATACTGAGGAGCCCTTCGACAAGGAGCGCATCCACCGCGAGATGGAGCAGAAGCTGCGCGAAGCGCTAGCCAGAGAAGGCAAAGTGTATCCGCCGCCCAAGCCGGAGCCTCCATCGCATCCCGTATTCGCCAACGACGGCTCGTTCATGGAGTTGTTCAAGAAAATGCAGGAGGAGCAGAAGCAGCAAGCGAGCGGCGCACACGTGCAGCAACCAGCAGACCTCGCTGCCGGTGGATTGGAACATCTGGGTGTGCCACAGCAGTTGCAGCATCAGCTTTCCGCATCTGAGACAGCGTCATCATCGACATTGTTGGCAGCAGCTCCCCCGTTGCCGGCCATTGCGGTGGGGGCGGCCAGCAGTGCTGCCGCTCCCTACATCGCTGCAGCAGCGGCCGGCAAACTGGCACCACCTCCGCCCATTGTTGGTCGCCGTCGAGGCGGCAAGATCCTAAAGACCGGCGTGGTGGCTAAACTCAAGACGCCCAACGAGCGTGACGTTGATCCGAAGGACTTCTGGTCGCTCTACCTGGCCGAGGTTAACAAGTACAAGAGCAACGCCTGCGACACGGACAACGGCAAACGGCCGCTGGTCAAGTAGTCACTGCAACTGCCGCAACAGCTACCAAAGCTACAGTTTCCCATAGAAACATGAACTTGAACGCAGGCAGAACAGCAAGCGTGAACTCCCCAGTTGCATCCCTACCCTCCTCTTTTTCCCTGACATTCAGACACACACACATACACACACGACCTCTGATTACCCAACTTTCGGAAGCACAGTCCTGTAGTTTTTAATCGTAGAGGGAGGCGAGCCGGAGACAGCGCGAGCTATGTAATTTGTATTTTTTTCACACGGGTCTCGAGGGACCAGCCGCAGAGCCTCGAAATTAAATATTTGATGAAATAATCATAGTCTAGATCGTAAGACGTAGATTTATATGATATGTATCTCTATATATAACATTATTGTATATACCGCTCATTCAGCATCGACAAATTTGAAAAACTAACCAATGTGATTTATATGTCTATCTCTTCCTTCCCCGTTTTGCGCACTGAAATTGTATCATCTTTCGTTCTTATTATCATTTCCTTGATTCGATTCTTATACACCTTTCTCACTCACCTGCCACATCCACATTTCGTTCCACACATCCATCTCTTTCTTTTTCATACCATGCCATACCGTACCATATGGAACACTGTCCAACCCACTCTATCTCTATCCTTGTCGCCTCGGTTTACGATTCGGTTAATTATTCTGTTTCCTTGCCCTCGGTTCTTCTGTTCCTTTTTATTTCCTTTTCCCAACTAAAGTCTATATGCAATTTTTCATGTCCAAAAACAAAAGCAGCGACAAGTCGTCCGACAGCAGCAACATGTCCGCCTATAAGCTGGAGACCGCCCCCTTCGATCCGCGTTTCCCCAACCAGAACGTGACCCGCTACTGCTACCAGTCGTACATCGACTTCCACCGCTGCCAAAAGAAGCGCGGCGAGGACTTTGCTCCCTGCAACTACTTCCAGAAGGTGTACAAGTCGATGTGCCCCAACGCCTGGGTGGAGAAGTGGGACGATCAGCGCGAGAGCGGCACATTCCCAGGCCGCATCTAAGTACGGTCCGGCCACCTCATCCAAAACACCCGAACCAGAAACAGAAGCACACGCAGAGAAGCAACACGATCGGTGGACGATGGGCGTAGAGCGGCGCAAGGGAGGAGGCAAAGGAGGACAGGAGGTTGTCTAGCGTCCCAGCCATTGCAACAATTCCTAGACAGAATAGTTTCATGTATGTGCTTTCCCGAGCGGTGAATGAAGACCATCATCGACAAATACAAAAACAAATACACAATTGTTCAATTCTGTGAATTCTGAATCGATTCCTTGTTTCTTCTTAATCCTGATCTGAATCTTGTTGTTGCCGGCCGTTGTTGTTGAGCACGTGGACCTGGAACTGTATTCCCATGTGTTATTAATTAATAAATACTTAGTCACGAAGTCGCCAACGTTTCATCATTTCATCACTTGGTGTCTGCCGAGGAAGCTGTCTACCTTAAAACATTCGGGGTCTCCTTGGAAAGACATCATCACCGTAAAAACAGAATCCTCAGGATGACTGGATCTTGTGCCTGACCTAGTATAAGAATTCCAAGGAAAACCAATTAGATATGGGCCTGCATCGTTTATTTAATATGTATGTTCTTTGGTTATTACAAGTTCTTTATGAGTGCCTCATCGCAGTGTCCATTCCCAGGCCTTGGCCTATTCCAATGCCATCAGAAGACGCAACTTCACGTGACCACTCTTCCCCAAGGTTGGGAATAGCGATGGATATTGCACGTTTGGCCTTAGCATTAGCCCTTGTGTTCGATATTGATCTCGATTTAGTTATTAATTCGGTTTTTAGTGTATACATACTCGTAGATATATGCGACTTTAAGATTTCCTCTACTTTAGTTTGCTTAGTTAGTTATTATCCTTATGTGGTAAGTATTGAATTAAACGGAATGAACCCTTGTCTGACAAGAATAATCCTGGTAAATGCCGAGCCAAAGCCATTATCCTCCGATCGATCAGACATTGCTGTTGAACATTAAAACATGGACATGCGAGGAACGGAAGTAACAACTAAGTTTCGTGAAGAATTAGCATAAATCAACAATTGCGGACGGCAGCAATTCCTATATAAACTAAGGACTAAATCAACCTAACAGGAAACAGGAAACTTGAGTTTAAAACTTAGTAATAGAAGGGGGAAACGTAAACCGATCGATACGATAGAAAAGTGCCTGCCTGTGCCTGGCAATGTCCAATCCCTGAGGCCCTTTAGCTTTAGCCTTATATCCTACATTTATATATCACTAAATGGTAATGCCCCAGCTGGCATATATCGCGCGATTCGGATTGGAATTCATTTGAGTTTGTACCGCAGTTTGCATGGATCTCGGAGCTTAAAATACAGAATTATTTATCGTACGGATATAACGCTGAGACGGCTAATCGAGTGGATTCTCTGGAATCCAGCCTTAGCTATATGCGGCATGACTCTTGACCCTACAGCGATTGCGAGTTACATTTATCGACATGTCGAGTGTACTATATAGTGTATCAATTACATTTAGTGGCTTAACTTTGGCTAACTCTAGTTCTAACTCTAAACTGGCCTTGTGTGTGTAGCTCCAACTGTACAGGTTTAAAATTCAAATGCATCTACGGATCTCAATGCCTCTGCTATATACTGAGCACCGGTAGTACATACATTCATATCTCCCCTCCTCGCTCCTCCTTTTATTGTACTTAGTAGGTATTGTAGTATTGAATTCTCTTTGGGGGGGTGTTGGGGTTCACCGGGAGTCTGTATATAGTTTTAAACGTAATCCTTAGTCCTATTTGATAGTAGAAATGAAACGAAGAACGCTAGCTGCTGCTGATATATGTAAGTATGTATGTGGCCGCTTCCGTTTCCGGTCTTGTATCGTATAATTATAACACAGATATGAACTGATTAGTAATGGCGGCGTGTGCCTTGCGATATTTGAAGTGGAGAAGCGTAACTAGTATTAAGTAGTTGGGCTTAGTGTCAGTTGCAGGAATACAACGTATCCGTGATCCTCAAATCACTCATCACTCATCCCTACCGTGTGTTCCTATATGCTTATGTAAGTGTCTGTAGTAACATTCGAATATATGTAAGTGGAGAAGAACAAAATCTTCCGGTATCCGGAATTCGAAATCTTGATTCTACCTGTGCAATATTAGAGTAGTACCCTTACGTCTACAATTTCCCTCTCGAAGAGTTGTCCGCTGGAAGAACAGACCCAGATCCATTAAAGCTTCTCCTTCTCCTACTCCTCTGCTAACTCTGTCCATATGTCTATCTGTCTATCTGTCCGCAACCTTCCATGTCCAGTTTTTGGCACTTGGTGCCCCAACTACAAAATTCTACATGCAACCGTACTTGTCTCTACTCTCCGCCAGACTCTCTAGAGCCTCTGTTCCCTAGCATGCCAGGACACTGCCTAAACCCCCGACCTTTTATCCATCCACGTTCAAGTACCGCAGCCCGTAGCCCCCTTACGGGTATAGTTACATGTAGCTATTGCTTGTTTGTTATCCAATGTCACGGACGATCTCGATCTTGTCGCACAGCTCCGAGTCGGGGTCGTGGATGGTGGTGAAGTGGGTCCGGTCGCTGCGGAATGTGTTCCGCTCGTTCGAACTGCTCTTAATGGATCGCTCTGAGGGCGTTTCAGTGCCGCTCAGCTGGATGCGCTTCTGCAAAGCGGACACAAAATTCTACAAGGAGACAAAACACGCATCAAGATCAGCTTCCAGCTATTGTCCACTTAATACTCACCTGCGATATGATGTCGCCGCGGGCCGTGCGAACCTGGTAGAGGTAGCGGAACTTGCGCTGCCTGGCCTCTTCACGCGTCTCCCGGGTGCGAGACTGTGAACGTCGAACAGGGGCATGGGTATGTCCTGGCCCCGCCTGCTGTTGGCTGCTGTTCGGCAGGTGAGCGGCATGAGCATGTCCGGGATGGTTGTGGTGCCGCATATAGACACGCTTGCGATGATCCACGCGCCAGGCAGTGATGAAGCACTGCACCATGATGCTGAGCACAATGGTGATGGGCCAGGCGGCGATCAAAAGGCCGCCGTAGCAAGGAGGCGGTGTTGGATGCGGCCGCATGCTGAGTATCTACAATCAGGAGGTTAAAACCAGAAAATAATCCATTCGCCTGCCGTCCAACTCACCCAACTGATGGTCTCCAGTCCGTGCATAAAGAAGTCAATGGCGCCGAGGATCATGGCAGTGCCCACAATGCTGGAGGTGAGTATGGTCACATATTTGACACAACACAGGGTCAACACCGAGCAGATGACAGCGCCGCCCACCACCGCCACGTAGATTTCACGATACTGTGGACACGAAAGAGAGAGTTGAAGCAGATGCACATTGAAGGTGAGTTCCAAGCACTACTTACCCCGAACTCGTTGTCTGGCATGGTGGCTACGCACACGGCCATAGCGGCACCGGAGAGCAGGGCTCCGGCAAAGGCGCTGATCAGGACGGATGCCACCGGGTATGTGGATCCGAGGACAGCACCCAGTAGTCCCGCCACGATGGCCAGCGCCGAGTCAGCCGGCTTACCTAAGAAGGTTATCTGAAAGTCCTGTAGAATGAAGATGCCATTGGCGCCCACCATTAGGCCGCTGAGGAACCCGACAGCACGCAGGCATCGGTACCCTAGCAAGGCGTACACAATGCCAAATACTGCAAAGATGGCCCACAGGATGGCGGCCAGTGGTTCGGGTGCAGTCGGTGTGCATGTCTGACCCTCCAGAATGCCCTGCGGAAGCAGAGGAAGGGAGGTACTGGGTGTTAGAGGATTCTAGGTTGGAGGCGGTACCATTGCAAGGGTAATTCGATCAAGGACGCTGACACACATCGCAATGGGGGCGCAATGATGGCGCCACTCCTGGCCGCTGGCAAATGCAGTGAGTGAGTCATTCATATCATATGCAAGTGTTTTTGCAATGGGTTTATGCGCAGCCAACATAAAAAATTATTCATGTAATGACAAAGATTAGTCTTTAAAAGAACTGTGTGAAATATGAAGCGGCATACGGGTCGTATGAGTAATATGAATTGAAACGCAAAGATAATGACCACAAAGGTATACAAACTTCGGTCTTCCGAAGCTAGCTTCCTGTCCTGTTATTAATTAATTAAACTAATGAAGTTAAATAAAAGATTATTACATTAATATCTATTATATATTGTAGATTAACTAAAAAATAAACAATTACGTTAAAGAAGTGACAACTGAACATTAACCAACAAAATTTACCGTTTTGTGAAAGAAAACTGTTTTGTGATTGCATATATTTACATACATACATACATATGTACATATGTAAATAGTATTTGCAGTGCCGTTATCTTTTTCGCGACAACATTCCCTTTGAATACCATGAATTCCTGGTGGGGCAAGGGGGAGGAGTACAGGAATGTCGTAAAGTGGAGCTCATGCAGCGCTGTTCGCGCACTTGGCGCCGCATGAGCGCAGCTCCAGCTTTTGACACACAAACCCCACTTATACACATTACACTCGACACTCGGCACTCGACACTTTGCATATTGTCTCGACTTAACCTAAAAACCCTGCAAATATGCGCGCATATGTGTACGTGTGTGTGATATTTACTGCAAATTTCAGCTACGTTTTATGCCAATGTATTGGTGTGGACAATACGCACCTTGATGAGAAATGGCCAGTCCAGATGCGTGATGCCCATGGAGTCGTCGGAGCCATAGTCGTGGCCATCGTAGCCCACGTCCGCGCCCGCGCTCACCCTCATTGTGGCGACAGGTCGAGGATCGTTGCTTTTGTTGGTAATGCTGTCTTCGCTTGTTGTTGTTGGCAGTGCTCGGAAGAATTAGCTGGCGGTTCTAGTTTACTGGCGAAGCTGTCCGCATTCCTGCACTGTTTTGGGCATGGTCTCGTGCTCCTCCTCAATCTACCTCACCTGCGCGTCCTTTGCCTTCCCGTCCTCTCTCTCGCTTTGTGTGTCAACCTGCAGAGCAGTTCAAAATAGGGCGGAGCTCCTCGGGACAGCCTCCTGGCTTCTGATGCAAATCCTTTTGTGTTGGCGGCACCTGCCTAATACCTGCCAACGCTACGATCCGGAGTACACATTTTCACTCGATTTCGCACTGCGACATGGGGCGGACAGCGGACTCTTGGCCAGTGGACGTTTGCAGCTTCAATCGGGGCCAAGACAAAATCGCTTGTGGTACCAACAAAAAACACGGTCCGGTCCTGCGGCCAAGGCGAAAGCGAGCTGCGGTGCCAGAGAGGGATGGCTAGACGACGGCATAGGGCGCGCGCCCTTTCGCCCGCGTGGGTTAGAAAGGGAGCGAGCGAGTGCCCAAGCCAGCCGCCAAGTTGCGTAAGCAAACAACCCTCTTGCGACGGAATGGAAGCTCTAGAGCTTTCAAAGCTTTGCAAAGTTCAGGAATGGAGCAGGTGCGCCACAATGCGGCGCACCTTACAGGAACCCGAATTACTCTTATCAAGGACTTACATACATATCTAAGAATTAAGATGTCGGCTTTAAAGATGAAACATGAAAGGAAACTTATTTCGGGAAGCCGAAGTTGATATACCCTAGCAGCTTGAAATTGAATTCAAGGATCAAATCGGAATGGATCATAGCTAAGCCTAAAAATTAAAAAATGGTATTTAAATTAAATATTATTTATTTATTTATATAAAGCTAGCATATTGTCTTAAAAAAAAAGCTAACTTAATTTATGAGCACTGGCATTCGCATTCTTTATGTCAATATTTATCGTTATCATATAATAATGATAATTTTTTTGACAAATCAATTTTTTAAAATATTATAACTAAGCCAAAAAACCATTAATTTTAATTCGGAAAGCGTTTCTATGTTAGTTTTTATTAGGTTAACAAATCTGTATACTAAACTTAATATTTAAAAAACAAAATATTTTTCAGATTTTTGAAAATTTTAACGATATAACCCCTTATAAAATTTTGAAAATTGTATTTTTCCTTCCTACATGGGCTAGATAGATTCGCCTGTCGATATTGATCAAAAATATATATGATTTATAGGTTTGGAAATGACTCCTTCACTTATAAAATAATATTATCCCACGAGCCCATCCTGGCAGATTGAAAAAAAGACAGCCTTGTCGACTCAAATATTTAGTGTGTTATGTCATACATTTTACTAGGACACGTACATATACATAGATGCAGTGCATAATGGGGATTACAGAGTTACACAGTTTGGAATGCGATTAGGCAGCGCCGGAATGCACGCTGCCAAGTGCATGCAACAGCTACATGTTGTCACCGTTGCAGTCGATTAACAATTAACAGTTCTCTTGATCAACTTGATTGGTTTATATGCATATATAATATAATGTAGGTATATATGTACGTTGGTATTTGAGGGCATAAATAGTGGCGAACCGCCAATACACAATGCAATAATAATAGTAATAATAATACGTAAACTACAATTTTTGTTGCTCTAGGTCATCCAACAGCCAGGGGGTATGGCCTTCGCCTCCTTCCATCTTCGTCCCCGCTCAGCAACAATTGATCGCTCCGATTGCTTTGTGCTCCTCGTCCACCGTCAGACTTTCATCCGGGCAGACACTTTACGGGGATCGAATGATGGCCTCGTAGGCGGCGAAAATGATGTTGGCCACCTCAACGGAGCGCGACTTTAGGCTGAGGGTGGCATCGGGATTGCCTGGCTGCAGCTTCAGCTCCAGCAGGACCCAGATGTTGTTCGTCAGCTTGAGCGACTGGTAGAGCATGTCCTGGCCCTCGACGTTGCGCTTGGCAATGGTGAAGATATTGTTGGTGGTCATCTTGGAGGCAATGCCATCGGTGGTTCCGATGACGCCGCTCAGGCTGTATTGCAGCTCGTTGGCAGCTGGAATTTCCTTCCAAGTGTTGAGGAAAACACGCTTGTCCAGCTGCCCGTCCTCCGCGAACAGCACGTTGCCGTGGACCAGGCATGCGAAGTAGAATATATCGATGTTGTTCTTCACGGCCACCTGTAGATTATTGAGGGGCTCCATACGCTGGATTGGCCCGTTTGTGCCCAGCGCCAGGCTTACCTCAATGGTCTGATTGGGCGGCAGGGGAGCGGCCTGCAGCGGCGACGAGGGCACCAGGCCGAAGCTATTCTTGTTCAGTTGGATGGCGAAGTTGGTCATCGGTTGCATGGCCTTGTTGGTCAAAGTCATGTCCATGAACACCTCGCCGTTGCGGCGCGAGAATGTGCCCTGGATCTCGAGGCCCTTGCCCTTCTCCGCCGGCAGCCATGTGACCTTCGGTATTTGAACGCCAACCGAGAGCGATGCGCCGCCTAATCCAAAGATGTCGCCCAGCAAGCTACTGGCACCGCCTGGAGCCGCCTCAGCAGGAGGTCCGCCCAACAGAATGTCCAGGCCGCCGCCCAGCAGGTCAACGTTGCTGGTGGCTGCCGGAGCGGAGGGCATAGCGGGCGCATTGATGTCCATGGAGAGCAGATCACCGATAAGCGACTCCTGGTTGGGAATGACCATGGCCTCTGAGCCGGCACCGCTCTCTGCCTGCTCACCAGCTCCACCTCCGGATCCAGCAGCACGATTAGGCAGCGACTTGCGGACTCCAGCCCCGCGACCCTCTACGAACGCTGTTGGTGGCTTGTGGTACACACTGGCCAGCGAACTGATGTGGCAAATGAGCTCGTCCAGCAGTGTTGGTTCCAACAGGTCTGTCTCCTCGGAAATTAGTGGCTTGTCGGCCAGCACCACCTCCTTGGCGGCTGCCGGATCGGTGGACAGCAGACGCCAGTAGATAAAGCCGCGGTCCCTTAGATCGGGATTGTCCGAATCCTGTGTGGCTAGCGATAGGACGTGCTGTACCAGCTCCTGGGTGTCCGACGGACGCTTCAGGAACAGTTTCACCACGGCAGTCAGCAGTTGCAGCTGCACCTGGGCATTCTCATCCTGCAAAGACCAACGGATGGTCAAGTATTCACATAAAACATGTACGGCTTGCGCTGTATGTGTGACTCACCTGGAAGCCCTCGAGGAAACTGTCGAGCAGTTCGTCGGCGTTGTCAATGCGCTCCGCATATTCGCCAATGATCCAAACCATCGAAGCACGCGCCTCCGGCTCGTCCAGGGTATCCAGGTTCTCGCACAGCGTGCTGATGATGCTCTCGTATTTGTTTGGGTATTTGCGGAAGATGTCCTTGATGACCACGATGGCCTCCTGTACCACGTAGTTGACTTTGGTCTGGATTAGGTCCAGCAGAGTCGAAACACACCGCTCAGCCGATGGCTCAACCTTGATGGCACAACGACCGATAGCGCGCACTGCCTTCCTCACGAAATCTACATCCACCTCGGTGGCATACTCTTTCAGCTCGCTGAGCACCTGGGCAATGTTGCTCTGGTTAGCCAGACGAATCATGATGTCCAGCTTCTCCAGCTTCACGTAGATGGGATCGTTGTACTTGACAAAGAAGACCTTCATCTCGTGCTTCAGGATATCGGGACGTTTCTGGACGATCAGGTTGATGTTGCGCAACGCCACATACTGCACCTCCGGCTCCGAGGAAAGGAGCGTGACTAGTGGCGGAGCCAGCTTCTTGGTGAGCGTAGCGCAAAAGTCGCTGTCGCTGGACAACATCTCGAGCAGCTTCATCAGCACCTTGACGGCACTCAGCACTACAGCGGCGTTGGCGTGAGCCAAGCGCGGAGTGATTCGCTCGCAAATGGACTGCGCCTCGCGCTCATCCTTGGGACTGTAGTTGGCCAGCGAGTCGAGTATGAAGACCTGGCCCCATTCGGTACACTCGTTGAGTGCAGTCAGCAGCTTGTTAATGGTCACAGAGTTCATTTCCACCAGCGGCTGTCCTGACTGGCTGGCCTCGTTGATCTCGCTGAGGGCGGCTACGGCATTGGCTACGACCATGGGATTAGAGTCGGACAGCAGGTCCTTCAGCTGGTCGAGAAAGCCCTGGTCCTCCACCATAGTAGCCGAAATATCATACAGCTTTGCAACGCACACGGCGGCCGTCTTGCGCACGTACGGATCCTCGTCCTTGAGGCATTTACGTAGTGGCTCGCAAAGATACTCGGTGATCTTGTCCACCCGGATGCAGCCCATGGTCCGCACGGCCAGCGCCCGGATTAGCGGGTTCGAGTCCTCACAGTCCTTTACAAACGTGTTCACCGCCATAATGGCCATATCCGGCTGCGACTTTGCGTAGTTCATTAGGTATAGGTATACGAGTTTCTTCAGCTCCAGATTGTCCGTCTGCATACAGTTGACCACATCGGGGAACAATGCGCTCACATCCTTGCCCACTGTCATGCTGGCAATCACCTTCTTCACCGCCTCCTTCTTCTTCTCCTTCTTGTCATTGTTCAGCTCCGACTTGAGCTCGAAGATCTCGCCCTTCTTCGTCGTGGTAAAGTACTTGGAATCGGTCATCGTGGCTGTGGCTGTGGCTGCTACTGCTGCTGTGCTGCTCCTCGCTGCGAACTAGCTCTGAAATGGATGTGAAGAGAAATTCTAGCTTTAGCGGATGTGCGATTATTGATTGCGGCAAGGCAGGCCCCACTGTCCCCCATTCTCCTATCCCTAGCGAGGGGCGTAGACACACACACACACACGCACCCACAACAGCCGCATACTCATACTGACGCCCACTGCACGGCGGATACACTCACACACGCCCGTATCGGAAGCTTGAACACGTCTCAAGAGCGGACTCGATTTTCGCAATGCTCAAAAAGGAGTATGAACAGCGCCGGGACCTTGCCAGCGGTTGAAAGCCAACCTAGCAGAGACTTCCGAAAACATTGACCAGTCATTGGGGTCGCGGGGCAGCGTACATTACCTTGGAAATTAGTTTTTCTGGCACTTGGAAAATTGTTTGCTTTTTCTCTTTTCTGCGTAATTAGTGCGACCGTTGGCTCGGATCAGACCAAAGAGTGACCAACGTCCGTTAAAATACTATCGATTAGTTGGTGTCGAAATTAAATGCGGGCCGAGATTTTAAAAACCTATTTTTGTAAATAAGCCAATTAATTCCCACCCACCTTTTCTAGAGTGATACAAAAAATTTGTGTTAAAAATAAGGCAACCTCATTTACTCGTTTCTTAAGACGGTATCGATTAATTGGTGCATATTTTGGCTATATTTATCTAACAACACCACTTTAATGTAAGAATAACATTTTTTGTCCGCTGCCGGGACAATTTTTGGAAACAAAATTTATTAATTTAAACTCCCTTTTGTTCTTCAACAACTTGAAGAATAAACTGTAGCTTTCTTTGCAAGCGAGAAACATTTAAATATATATTCCTTTGTAAAAAAAAAACCTTAAAGCGCGGATGTAAGGTTTTGAACATTGCTGTCGAGCAGTGTATTAGAACATCTGGAAAGAATTAAATCGATTTAAGATGCTATCGATTGTTATCGACAGCTTTTTATTTAACCCCGTCAGTTATTATTTAAACATTTTTTTGTATTTAGCTGCACACAGAATGGTGGTAAAGATAAAAAAGGAATAGCTGTCATAGAAGGATAAGGCAATTTGTGTAAGAATCACGGAAAATCATCATAAGCACAGTGTTTAAATATATAAATATTAAAATTTAAAGACATTTTAGGTTCGATCGAGTCTATATGCACTCGCTACTCATTTGCGTTGCGTAAAAATATTACGTCTCAATCACTTACTTTACGTTTATTACGTTTTTGATCTCAACACGTACGAAAAATTATGTTTTAACGTAGTGTGACCAGCTGACATAGAGGTAAAAATGAAATCTTCTTTAGTTCGTTTATGACCTAGCGTTATAACATTTTCAATCGTCATCGGCGCGGTCACGCTGTTTTGCAGCTTTAATTTTCGTTCGTTTTTGACGAGTACGGAATCGGAATCGAAAAGAAAAAACATAAGCAGACAGCCAAAGCAGAGCATATTATAATGAATTCCTAAGTTCGACGCGCGCCGAACTAGTCTGCGTATGTATTCTTGTGAGCAGACAAGCGGATGCATATTTTTTTGGCGTTTGGCTCGCAATAAATGCGTTGTCTTACTGGCTGTGCCCCAATCGTTAAAAGTGCGTGGAAAAGTGTACGAAACCAATACACGGAAAGTGGGACAACGGCAACCGAGAGCGCTCGTTGCGCTTGTCAGTGTCTGTGTCTCTGTTGTGTGCGTATGTTTGTGATTGTGCGAGTGTGTTTGTCGGCTAAGAGTGTGTTTGTGCCTACAGTCTTCTCAGTCGCTCGAGTGCTTAAAAAAATGTGTTTTATTTCTTGTTTAACGCCGAACGCCTAAGACACAGTAGCACAGCGCACCAGTGCAGCAGAATGCGCCTGGTCAGCGAGTAACGTTCCCTTGCCAGCGGCGAGAAATGCATGATATGGACTTGGACATGGCCAACATGAAGCATGCCAGCGAATAGCTCGAATCGCGAATTGTGCACGCAAAGAAGAAGGCGCTCTTCTACTCCATCTTCTTTTGTCTGACTCTGACCGACGACTTTGCCGCATGGTGAGTTTGCCGTTTGCTGCCGCTGGTTCGCTTTGCTTGGCCAGTTGGTATTGTTGTTGCTGCTGTTGCTGCTGCTGCTGTTGGGTCAGGGCTTCGGCGGCGGCGTCATTGTTGTTGTTGTCACCGCCGTGTTCTGCACTGCCTGCATTCTGTTGTTGATGTTGGGCCCACTGGAGCTCCGAAATTTTCAATTCCCTAGCCCAAGGGGAGCGGGAGCGGCGCAGTTCTGCTTGTACTGCAGATGCTTGCATGTACAAGCGAGTGCATATGTGTTTGTGAGTGTGTGTGTGTGTGTGTGCCCCTGCATTTGTGTATGTATTTTCTCCATGCAGCCGAGTAGCAGAGCAGGCAGCAGCGGCGGTGGCGGCGAAGGCGGCTGTGGTGAATTCGGAAGCCAGTGTGGTGGGTTCGAGCCCGTGCGGCGACAGTGTTGCCAACACACACTAGTTCGGCTCGTTCGTGGCGGCGCGGCTTTCTCAGCATTTGCTTGTGTTTCCCTCGTTCCCTTACTCTTGGTGGCTCTCTCCTCTTCCTCTCTCTCTCTCTCACTGTCCGCCTTTCTGCCATTCCTCTTCATCCTCGCCATCGACAGCTGTGTGCGCATGTTTTCAACGCTTATTATTTATTAAATGTTGTTGTTGTTATTCGGCTCGGAGTTTGCGCGGCAATTTCGGTGTGATACCATTTCCCCGCCAACGGGAGCAGAGACTCCTCCGCGCTTCGCATCTGGACACGGATGTGGGTTGCATCAATCTGCGCTTCCCGCGTGCCACAATTACGGATAAATAGTTTCGGTGAATGCTAAAATTAGATCCTCTACTTAGTCCGGTTTTCATTCAGTTTTCTTTGATCTGTAAGTGTACGTGTACGTGGTGTGTGTGTGTGTATGTATGTACATTTGTTTTGTTGGTGTGAGTTCGGAGGTCGTTCGCCTCAACACGGTCCAGGTTCCAGACTCCAGGATCCGATTGGAAAAGCTATCTAACGAACCTTCTTCACCCTCTGCTTGCAGGCTTCCAGGCGGACACTGGACAACTGGATATAGCAATGAATGATTTACGTCAACAGCAGATGGTAGCAGCGACATCGTCATCAGGATTGGGAACGGGAACGAGAACGTCAACGTCAACGTCAATCATAACCACAGCAGCAGCCGCATCGTCCACAGCTGGACCATCAGCCGGTCGCGCCAACACAAGTGCAATCAACTCGAATTCAGCGGCATCAGCAATCAGCAGCAGCAGCACGAGCGAGGAGGAGCAGCGGGTGAGCTCCACATCGTCGCCAGCACAGCGGGAGCAGCAGCTGAATGCGGATCAGGAGCAGGATAACGAACGGGAACGGGAACGGGTGCAGGAGGAGCAACATCAGCAGCGGGAACAGCGGCACAATCAGCCCGGTCAAATAACCAGCACCACCGCGTCGCCTCCGCCGACGCATCAGCAACAGGAACAGGAGCAGGAGCCGCCAACGACGCCGTGCGACGATGCCCCAGGCACAACTGGAGCATCCGCATCAGCATCGGCAAGCTCAGCATCCGGAGACGCAGCAGCATCAGCAGCAGAAGGTGCGATGGCTGCAACGGCTCTCGACGTAAAGGGCGAGGAGCGCGACGGACACAAGATTATCCTGAAGCTCTCCAAGCACGTCAATCCGAATCCAAACCCAAACCCAAACCTAAATGAATCTCAGCCGGCTGGCGATGAGCGGCGCGTGGAACCCCTGCGCATTCAGCTGCCAAGTGGTGGTACCGATGGAAGCGTAATGGCCAAGCCCCAAGACGCCTCCGACGCAGACGCCTCCTCCTGCTCCTCGTCATGTGCCGAAGACGAGGTGGCTAGCAGCCTCGGCCAGCATCCACGTAGCACGCCGCACATAGTGCCAAAGCTGACTATACGCGCCGCCAACGAGGAGCGGGTGGGCAGTGTAGTGCCCAAGTTAACCATCAAGTTGCCCGAAAACCCGGCTGGCTCTAGCTCCAACAGCAAGTCCAGTTCCGGCTCAGGGGCGGGAAGCGGCGCCCAATCTGCGCTGCCGACAAAGAACGAAGCCCACCTGTCCAGCCTGTCGCCCGCCTCCGCCTCTTCCTCGTCGGCCTCGTCCTCCTCTTCCTCATCCTCGTCGTCCTCGCTGGCAGAGATCCAAACGGTGCCCAAACTGATGATTAAGACAACGCTGGCTGGCAGCAGTTGCATAAGCAGCAGTGAGGAGCATTCGCACCAGCAGCAGCAGCAGATACCAAAGTTAACCATCAAGACGGGTGGCGGCGGCGGCGGCCAGGAGCACATGCACACCGTGATCATGACCCACGACCTGAGCAACGCCCAGAGCATCCCAAAACTAACCATCAAGACCAAGTCTATCGAGCTGCTCGAGGACGACCCGGCGGCCAAGGAGCAGCTGCAACCGCTGCCCAAGCTGACCATTAAAAACCTGTGCTCGCCGAAGCACAAGGTGCGTGCAGTGCTCGAGGAGAAGGTACCCTCGGTCGCCTCTAAGCTGGCGGCCACCTTGAAGCCCGCGCTCAATCCAACCCCCGCACCCATGACGAATGGCGGTGAGTCAAACAGCAGCAGTCAGGAGTTCTGTGGATTCTCCGATCCCGATGCCGATCCGGCTGCCGGTGCGTCGGACGAGGGCCGCCGCAACTCCGATGACATGGACATCGACGAGTCGTTGTCGACGCAGCACGACCCCAAGATGTTTCACAATCTACCGCCGTTGGTGGCCAGCAATGGCATTGCAGTCGGAGCTAGCAAGGTCAGCAAAGCAAGCAAGGCCAATCCTGCACAGCAGCAGCTACAGCAACCGCAGCACAATGTGGTGGACATGGTGGACCTGACCTCGTCTCCGTCGCCTGGCTCTTCGCCAGCGCATGCGCCCAACAGCTTCACTGGACGCATATCCCCCGCCCAATCGCACAATCTGCTCCTCGAGTGCCTGCGCATGCAAGCAGCGGCGGCTGCCGCAGTGGAATCCAACGCTGGAGTCGGTGTCGGAGAAGGTTCCGTTGGCGGACCCGGCTCGCCAAACTCCAACATCCTGCTGAGCCAGCTGACGGCGCCAGCCAAAGGTTTCACAACGGCCTCGCCCAAGAGCAACTCTAGCAAGTACCCGCAGCTTACGGAGCGCCTGATGGCCAATGGCGGCGGAGGGAGCGGAGTAGGCGGAGTAGTAGCCACTGCTGCTATTGCATCCGAAGGCGATGTACCCGTTGCTCCGTTGCTGACCTCCTCGAACTCCGCCCAGCCCATCATCGACTCCATCGAGATACTGGACACACCAGAAGGCAGTCCGCACATAACGTATGAGGACGAGGACCATCACCAGTTGCTCAATAATCATCACCAGAGCAACCACAAGCACGCTATGGCCTCCGGCAATGACCAGCATCCGGAGAACGAGCTGCAGGAACTGGACAACAACAACGAGAATCACTTGAAGCGCAACAGCAGTGAGGGCAACGAATCTCCTATTAGTGGCGTAAGTATTTACTCCCGTGTATTCATATTTCCGTATATTGCTCATTGTCTCTTTCGCCCTTACGCAGATCCCTCCCATCAAGCAGAGGCGCCTGGACAACGACGAGAACGACCAGCAGACGCAAAACTGTCACGATCCCGCGAACAAGTGCAACGACACCCACAGCGACACGCTGCAGGCAGTGCCGCCGACGCATCGCTCTCGCAAGCAGAAGCACGAGCGCATCCTAAACACTGACATGGAGGATACCCTCTTTGCGCCCGTCCAGCAGCAGCAGGTGCTGCTTACATCGGACCAGAATGGAACGATGTTTCCGGAGGACGAGGGGGCTGAGTCCAAGGCTCAGGACCCGTTGGAACATACAGTCACACAGCCGGCGCCACCACCGTCAGTCACGCCGGCAAGCACAGGGAAGCGACGAGGCCGACCGAAAAGGATCCAGAATCAGAGCATCACCGATCCCGCCCATGCCTCCGCCACACCCAAATCCACGCCCGGCGCCGCGCCAGAGGAGGCTAACAGCGCTGTTAAATCGCGACGCGTTCAGCTCTTGCGCAAGCGTCTGGCCATCGACATGGTCAGCGTGGCTTCAGAGCAGGCGGAAGAGACGGCGGGAAGCACGGTGCTCGGCGAACCAGATGTTCGAGCGGAGGACGAGCTGGTCGGTGCAACGGAGACTCCAACACGTCGTGAGCACCGACCGCTACGAGCCACGCGGCGTACGATGCCCAATACTAATGCGAACACGAACCCACAGCCCACGCCCAAGTCAACCAGAAAGCGTCAGAGCAAGGCCAGTGCTCAGCACAGTCAGCTCCCGCCGCCACCGCCGCCCACGTTGGTTCAGTTCGGTGGTCCTGAGCCGGAGTCCAACAATAATAACAACAGCAGTAACATGGCCTTCGCCCTGGCCGCGCAAATCGACTTGACCATGTGCTCGTCCAGCTCATCGACCTCTTCCGGCACTGCTGCTAATCAGCAAATGATCAGCGGGAGCGGGAGCAGCTCAATGCTGCCTCCCACTACGATTCTGTCCTCCTCGGACCCTCTGCCGGATGTTATCTTCCAGCCGAACGACTTCTCTTCGATCATGGCCACGCAACAGCTGCGTTCGCCGCGCCCCTCCAGCATCAGCGGTGGCAGCCAGCCGGACTCGCATGACGAGGATAACTACAACAGTGCGCTGGATAACTCTGGAGGTAAGGCAGCGGTGCAGTGTCAAATTTTAGCAGGTTCAACTTCATTTTCCCCCTCTCCCTTTCAGACGAATCTGCCTCGACAACGACCATGCTCTCTATGACGACACCACCCGCAAGAGGACGCGGCCGTGGCCGTGGCAGGGGCGGCAGCCGGAGCAACAGAGGCTCTTCGTCGGCGGATCGGTCGGCCAGCACTGGTGGTGGAAACAGTAACTCTGCGACAACGCAACCACGGGCGCCGCGGATGAGCCGTGGAGCCAGTGCCGTGGCCAAGGCCATAGCCATGAGTAGGCCACGCTGCGTGGGCGGCCTGAAGCACACGCCCGATCCCGAGAGGCTCAAGGGTCTGTTTAGTCCGGTAAGTGCAATTTCCTGTCCTGTCCTCTTTTGCTTCTGTCTGGGTCACAATGGAAGCGTAGGCCAAGAAAGGATCTAATGTCTGGCAAAAGTATATATAATAATTAATTACAAGGATGTCAGTGTCAGGAGATATTATATTTAGAAATATGTGTAAGAGGGGTAACTTGACTTACATTTACTTAATTGCTAATCTGTGGGAGTTCTTATGGAAACGGTGTGTGCAGCATCCTTTGCATCCATTTAGTGGTGACTAATTGAGCTCCCGGGCTCTTCAAATACTAATCCGGATGAGGGACAGGGCGGAATCTGGGTTCCGAACATATGCGCACAATGTGGGCCAGCGTCTTGTAGATTGTAGAGATGGTCAGGGAAGCTTTGGGGCTTTTATTTTTATTGGCGTTTACAATTTGCATCGCATCGCTTCGCCCGCTTGTTTATGTTTCGTTACGTAAATTTTATTTCACACACACACGCACACCATGGGAAGGGATGAGGGGGAGGAGGTATGAGTAGGAGTAAGGGTAAAAAGGGTAAAGGGAGAGACGGGCTAATGTTAACGTGTCGTAATTAAAATCAAAGGCGCGCGCCATGTCATGAATTCATTGCCAACGGCCTAAGTGTAAGTGCAAGTAACTGCAACAACGAATGCAGCAGCAACAGCAAGAACAACAAAGCTTTAGGCATCAGCATGGGAGGGGGAAGAAGCAGCAGTAGTAGCAGCAGCAGCCGCAGAAGCAGCGGCAGCGCAGTAACGCAGCCGCTCCGATTGTTGTTGGCTTCACCTGCGATTTTAATCAGCTGAAGTTTTGTTTGGCTCTCGCCAATGGCACACGATTGCGCGCATGTGTGTGTGTGTGAGTGTGAGCGTGCTGGTGTGTGTGTTCTGAGTGGGGCGCATGTGTTGGTGCTTGCACTTATTCGCTGGCGGTTGTCCACCTTCACCACACCTGCTGCTGCTGCTGCTGCTGCTGCTGCTGCTACTGCTGCTGCTCTCTCTCTAGTTCGCTCTCTCGCGGTCACTTGCTCTCCCAACAAGGCTTTGTGTGTTTAGGTTTTCAAAGAAAGCTGGCAATGCTGCTCGCCGGCGAATTACCTTGTGCAAGTCTAAACATGAACAAACACGGGCAGGAGGCGAACTTTAAAGAGTATATACTGCATAATGAATAGAATAGGAAATGGAAACCCATTTACCGAAATCCCACTGCTATTTGCCTTTGCTTACAATGCCAAATATTGTCCTGCTCATTTTCCAGTCGCCGCAAGTATTCGAGGAGGACACGCGCATGAGCGCGGATCTTAGCAACAGCAGCCAGTCGATGTCGATGGCTAGCCTGATGGAACCGCCACTAACGCCACAAAAGTAAGTTACCACTGTCGATCGTCACAAGAGTTTCCACTAACACTAAGATTTTATCCTTTCGTTCGCAGGCAACCCGATTTCCTCAATAACGAGGAGTCACAGTCGTCCATGGTGAGCAATGTGAGCCTGATGGATTCGAACCAGGGCCAGTCCGTCGACACCATACTGGGCTCTTCGCAGAAACGTCCAAAGAAAAAGAAGATGGAGATTTGCGTGGCCGAAGAGTAAGTGAACATTGTCGAACATCCATACCCAGAACGAAACTAATGTTTGAATACTCTGCAGCACGGATTACACCGCCTCCAGCATCGCAGAGTACGATTGGCCGCCGCCCAAGGGCTGCTGCCCGTCGAAGAACCGCGACACCTTCATGATCCAGGAGCAGGTGGCCCTCTACTTGGGCATAACTAGTTTCAAGCGCAAGTATCCGGACCTGCCACGCCGCGCCGTCGACATGGAGGAGCGGAACTGGCTACAGGAGAAGGGCCTGGTCAGCGAGAGGATGTGCGATCTGGGCATCACCGCCGTGTGGGCCTCCGACATTCTGGACATCATGTACGCGGACTTCTACGACAAGTACGAGGACTACAAGGAGTACATCCGTCAGAAGCATCTGCGCGAGATTGAGGCCAAGCAGAAGGCACTGGGCCTGACCGTCGGTGCCGGACGTGGCCTGCAGGCGCGGGACCGAGCCATGCTTTCGGCCAGCAAATGGAACGTATACTTCAACAAGACGTAAGTTGAGATCGTCTTTCCTGCTACTGCTGCTCAGGAACGGTTTACTAATAACTATCCTTTTATCCCTCTTGCCCGCACAGCCGCAAGGACGAGCGCCTGGCCTGCCTGGACCTGCAGACGTTCACCATGAACCAGCCATTGCAGTGGACGGCGCCCCCGTCCACCCGCCTGCACCGCTCCATCGCGAATGTGGTGCTGGAGGCGGCGGAGGCTGAAAACATGCCGGCGCCACCCACTCTCCTGCCGCCCCGCGTCTACGACGAGGCCTTTAGGGTCTCGGACTATGCCTACCCACTGACCGTGGTGCCGGATCAGTTCTCGTTTGCCTTCCGCCAGTTTGAGCCCGCAGAGCTTAGGTATGTGTTCCACTGGAAGTTGCATAAATCTGCGCACTACTAACCGATCCCCTCTTTCCTGTAGAGCCTATCCCCTAGACACGGCGCTGGAAAAGCCTCCGACCGAGCTAGAAATGGCGTTGTTGCAGCCCGTCAACAATAAGGAAGCCGCTGAGTCCGTTACCAAGGATGAGGGCACGGAACAAGTGTCGACTAAGGCTCAAACGGTGGCACCCGTCCGTCGCAGCCGGAGATCGGCACGTCAGCTGCCGGACAAGGCGCGCACGGCCAGCAATTCCAGCACCTCTTCCACCGGAACGCTCTCATCCGCGTCCAGTGGCAACGATAGCAGCAGTGATACGGTGAGTCTCGCCATAGCCCATGGCCCAAGAGGGATGAAACTGACGGGAGTTATTACTTCGTATTACAGGACAGTGGAGACGACAGCGACTGCAGCAGCAGCAGCTCGAGCAGTTGCAGCTCGGCGGCCGCTTCGAGTGGAGCTGGCAGCGAGGACGAGGATGGGAATGAGACTAGGCACGCTCAGTCCTCTTCCAGGCTGTCCAACTGCGGCGTATGCCTGCGTAGCCAGCACCGCAACGCTAGGGACATGCCAGAGGCCTTCATCCGTTGCTACAGTTGTCGACGGCGCGGTAAGTTCTATAGCCGCCATTCCGGTTAGCCCATTAAACCACGTCCGCTCTTTTTTACAGTCCATCCCAGCTGCATCGATATGCCGCAGCGCATGGTGGGTCGTGTACGGAACTACAATTGGCAATGTGCCGGCTGCAAGTGTTGCATCAAGTGCCGGAGCAGTCAGCGGCCAGGAAAAATGCTCTACTGCGAGCAGTGCGACCGAGGCTACCACATTTACTGCCTGGGCTTGAAGACAGTGCCAGATGGTAAGTACTTAAGCCCCTTGCTGGTTCTTCTTTGTAGACAGCAATTAACTTTCTTTTGACAATTCCAGGACGCTGGAGTTGCGAACGCTGCTGTGTGTGCATGCGATGCGGCGCCACTCGGCCCGAGGGACTACCCCAGGTGGCTGCCCTTGCGATGGCAGCGTCGCCCAATGCCGATCGCTCTAAATCACCACGCGGTAAGCGACTGAAGTGGGTGCACGAATACCGCATCGACCACGTAACAAAGTTGCGAGAGCACGCCGCCATGTTCTGCGTGCCCTGTGCGCGGACGAAACCTGCCAAGCGTCAGTCAGTGTCTACCGCCGTGCCGTCGGCCATCTCCTCCGTTTCAGTGTCGCTGCCCAGCAGTACGGCTGGTAGCCCCTTGCAGAGTCCCAGTTCGACGAATAATGGCGGTCAAGCCCTCACCGCCGGATCCTCGGCAATGAGTCCAAAGACGGTTACATCGTCGCTGCCATCCAGCTTAGAGGCAACGGCGACGTCGACGGCATCTACAAGCGCCGGCTCTGTGGCGTCCGGGACGAGCCGGCGACAACAGGTAACTTCGGCTAACATTACAACAATGCAGTGCAGCTTTAGCCGAAACAGTGTCTCCGACGAACCAGGGGCTGCCACGGCGACGGCAACCATCACGGCAACTGCAGCGGCGGCCGCAACTGAGACAGCAACTGCAACGCCCATAGGAATAGCGCCGCCGCCGGTTGTTGCCTGAGTGGGGGTCATACGTTATTGTGCCAAGCGCACTCTAACGGACTTATAGTAAGCGCCGGACGCGGCTCCCACCCCATCCCCTACTGGTGCCAGCAACCGCCCACCCAGACCCACACACACAGATGCATAGTATTACTAAATGCGACATAGGAGAAGGAGGAGGAGGAGGAACCGGAAAGGAGGAACTTTTTTTTTGTACCATCATTATTCTTTGTCAGTACAACGTATTGCAATTGTTTTATATATATATATATTTTACTTACTAAATAGTTGTGTTACTTAACTTTGCTAATGTTACACGAACACACACACACACCCACACCCACATGACAAGCACACAAAAACACACAAACCACACTGAAACACAACACGACAAATAGCAAAAAGAGCAGATTAAGTTAAACGCTTTGTATACTCCTAAGTTGAAACATCGCCTAGCACTTAAGTCCACCACACAAATCATTATGTTTCTAGAGAATATTCATCGGACGCATTTTAGTTCAATTGTGCAGTCTGTCTATGTTTGTCCCTGTCACTGTCCTTGTCCCTTGTCCCATGTCCTTACCACACACACACCACACACCACACACCACACACCACACCTGATGGCCTAAATGTTCCGTGTTAATGTTTAATTTTTGTATCGAATTAGTGTGTTATATTGATTACGTCTGTCTATGTCTGTCTCTGAGTGTAAGCCACTGTACTATATATTATCTATATATACGCGAAGAGCGATTGATCGATGATTATGATGATTTGTGCTCCGAATTTTTTGTCACGGTATATGTATGTATTTATAAGAGCCACAACACAACCCGTAGTTAATTAAGTAGTTAAGCACAACCGCATAATATGTACGTACATAGGTAGCGTCATGAGCGCCGCCTGGTTTTCCTCTTCATTTTGTTCCCGATTCCCCCAGTTCAGTTCCGATGGGATGGGGCGAGGATCCTGTAATAGTATGGCTAAGATTGTATTATACGTGTAATTTATGCTAACACATAAACGAAACCACAAAAACAAAAATTAAATTTACTACCTGTAGCTAATAAGAAAGCACAAGAACAGAGAAGGGAGACGACGAAGGCATAGATGATGAGGAGGACTCCGATTGGGAGAACGCAAAGATTGATGAGGAAAACCATGTGTGAAATAGAGTTAGGTTCTGATGCAGCAGCAGCAGCAGCAGCAGTCGCAGCCGCAGCCGCAGCAGAGATCGATAAGTAAATAGTTAGCATTAAGTTGTTCGTTTGGTCAACTTGACATTAAGTGGAGGCATCCACACAGGCGCAGCTGCAAACGCCAGCGAGCCGCCGTTAATCTACTTTTCCATTGAGTTTAATGCTTAAGTCCCTAAGTCCCTAAGTAACCTACTGTAATGTACACAAACACATACGAGAAGATTTATTTTTAAGTCGAATAAAACAGCAGCATTAATATCCTGGCCTTACCATCCACTCACTCCCCGTCAGGCGCTCTTCCAGCTCGTGGCCGTCGCGCCACGTGATTATCGAGCAACTCAGCATAGACTTTCCGTGGCCGTCAGCGGTGCTCATCTCCTCGTGCAGCTCGTAGCCACGTCGGATGCAGCCCACATCCCCCTCCCGGAGCTGCTGCATGGCGCACAGGTCGTTGCAGCTGTCTCCAATATAGATGACGCGGTCATAGCTTCCGCTGAATATCAGCTCCTGCATGACGGCGCCCTTGCAGAGATTTTCCGGACAGAGATCGCAGTCCGGCTGCTCGTCGTATGGCAGGACAAGTACTTCTCCGTCGGTCTGCACAATGGCAGGATTGGTGTACACGCTGGCGAAGATGTCCTCGATGCCATATTCAGTTAGCCACTCGCTGATAAAAAATGAATTAGCATCGCTGACGATGCACAGGTCGACCGCTGGGTTGATGGCCAGGCGGCGCAACACGCGCAGCATACCCGGAACCGCCTCCATTCGACGCACGCACTTGCCCACCGCCGGTGAGCAGATCTTGTGCTCGCCGTGAAGCTCCGCTAGCACGCGGGAGATGAAGTTTAGCCAGCCGCACTTGGGAATCAGTTTCTGTAGCTCCTTGGCCCGCTGCGCACTTGGCAAAAGCTGGCTGACTACCAGATAGGAGTCCTGCTGAACGATTGTCTTGTCGAAGTCGATGGCGGCCAGGATGCGACCACCGGTGGCGCTGGATATGTCGCACCTCTGGCAAAAGCGACGACGGAAAGGGCGACTTAAAATCTGGAGGTACTTTGACGAAATGGCAAACATTTTGGTGATTTTGTTGGGGAAAACAAACGAATTTGACTTTAATATCAACAACACACACCCATTTAAATGGTACAATATACATTAAGGTCAAAGCACATCGATATTGGGTGCACAGGTCCAGGGCCAGCGAAACCATTATCCTTCGCCTGGGCCTTGGCCAGACTCTGTGCCGACGAAACACTTGAACATGCAACATTTATAGCGTAATTTTAGATATTGTCACTGAAAATATGTTTTGGTTTCATCTCCTTTGGTTTTTTGCCTTGGCTTAGCATAAAATACGTTCCAAAAAGTCAAATATATGTGTAAAATACATTCATAGTTTGTGTGTAGACTTGGTGACATGCAAAAAGCTATGCAAATGCATCGTACGGAACAGCACAAACGAGTTTGGGTGCCTACAGGCATCCGCATGTGTATGTACGTGTATAATTAACTATATTATATATCGGCGAATTCATTGGCTAACTATAACAATTGGAGTTTGGGTTCAGCATCCATCGGAATCCATTCCAAAATATTCTGTAGACTTCTCTACTAGTGCTCCGTTCAGCTCCAATTTCAAATGCGTCTCGATCGATGCTGATGACACCATCTTGCAGAGGAGTCTCTGGGGAAGTCTCTGGGATATGTGGAGTTGAGATTTGGGCTTGGAAGCAGCTTGCTTTTTTATGGGACGAAAGTATATATATTGATCTCCTTGTAAAATTCAGTGATCTTTGAGGGAACAAATAGCCTAGTACTCTGATGGTGCCATCTCGTTCTATTTCACGACTTTGTCGCTTCTGCTTCTGTTGCTGCTGCTCCTAAACTGTGGTCTGCACATTTTGCACGGCCTTGGAGAGCTCTACCTTGGAAGGTATTAGATAAAATGCCGGAGTCATCGTCTCCCCGCATGGACACTTGCAGGCTGCAACATAAACACAAATATGTATTATTTTGTAATTGAAGATATTTCTCTCCGACAGGAACTCACCGTTGATCCAGCTGAAATTGCCCAGCTTCTGCTCGCACTTGGGGCAGTAAAGACGACCCTGGGTGTTAAGCATGATGCGGTGCATCCAGGCAATGGGCTCCACAAACAAAATGCTTCTGCAATGGTTTGGTGCACTCTCATGTCCAGGCGAACCGAGCGAAGACTGCCGAATGCGCTCGGCCAGCTGTTCAAGCATGCGCGGTCCGCTCTGGTTCTCCGACTGGGCCTGGACACTAGTTTCCTCTTTAGGAGCGGTCACTGGAGCAGGTTGCGCTGTCTCTTGCGGCGGCCTGTCGCGGGGCTTGTGCTCTAGCACGTGCGACTTGGAGGCCAAAACGCGACGGCAGCGACGACAGCGAAACACAATTGGCTCGGGGTTCTCGCGCGTTATGTCCGGATCCGGACGCACAACGCTGTGGAAGCTCTGCGGCAGTATCTTGGCCTTGCGCATCTGCTCGCCGGCCAGACGCAGACGGTGGATCTTGTAGCGCTGATAGCTGGGATCGATTTTGCAGCCCATGCGGCGGAAGAGCTTCAGTTGGCTGACGAAACCCGCGTTGGGCTGGACAAAGCGGCGCTTGGCCTTGACCAGCTCGTAGGCGGGCAGGAAGTCCAGATTGTGGTGCTTCATCATGTAGGCGATGACTGTGGAGGAGCTGCGGCTTACCCCGAAGTAGCTGCAAAGAGAGCGAGCAGTTGAAGCCTCCGGTTATAGGTCGATGTGGGACATGTGCTTACCAGTGCACCAGCACGTTACCCTTCTGGGCCAAGGCGGTGCTGATGAAGTCCACGCAGCCCTCTAAATGCTGCAGGATGTCCTCGCGCGGCATGTCGGCAACTGTAAGGTTGGACACTGGTACTGGACAATCTCCGATTGAGCGTTTACTCACTCTGAATGTACTTGGTGGTGAGGAAGCTTGCTTCCAGTATGTGCTGCGGCAGTGGCACCGAGTCGAGGGTGAGGATGTGCGTGATCTTGAAGGAGCGCAGCGTCTCCATGTGCGTGGCCGCCGTCAGGTTGCCTGCGTCAGCGAATCAACTGTTAGATAGCAAACTTCCAACTTATGGAGGCTCTTGCTCACCCAGAAACAGGCCCGTCTCGATCTCGTCAATGCTCACGGGCCCGCCATCGAAGTCCTCGCGCGTCAGCGCTCCCGAATCCTGCGGCTTGCCCCCCGATGTGCAGGAGGCTGAGGACCTTGTCTGTGGCTGGTGCTGCGCCATGATCCGCCCCGAGATTCCAAGGCAACAGATACCACAATAGTCGCAGCGTCGCCGTCGTCGTCGTGAAGGACTTGGGGCGTGACAGTGTGACCCATCGCCATCTATATCGAAAGCTTCTGCTTCCAGCTCCAATTCCAGTTCCCGTTCTCGAGCGATACCATCGATAACTGCTGCCTATCGGGGTTGGCGCATACCTAGGAGTGGAGCCGGCGACCGAAATAGTAACATAAATTTAGGAAAACGTCAAAACAAAGACACCATGACCACGCTGCGACCTTTTACCTGCGACGACCTCTTTAAATTTAACAATGTGTGAGTATTAAACCCACAATCCGGACCTCAGCAGTGCTCACAATGCCGTCGTTTGTTAACCAGAAACTTCGACCCACTTACGGAGACCTACGGCCTGTCCTTCTACACGCAATACCTGGCCAAGTGGCCGGAGTACTTCCAGCTGGCGGAGTCCCCCAGTGGCCAGATCATGGGCTACAGTAAGTGCCCTTGCTAGCTTTGCTGCCATTAACCTAACCTTAATTCCATTGCAGTCATGGGCAAAGTGGAGGGCCATATGGACAACTGGCATGGGCATGTAACGGCGTTGACGGTGTCCCCTGACTACCGGAGACTTGGTCTGGCGGCGCTGCTTATGAGTTTCCTTGAGGATATTTCGGAAAAGTAGGCACCGCACAATTGATAACCGCCGGCAATCATTCATCCCTCACCTGTCGTTTCTTCGCAGGAAGCGGGCATACTTCGTGGATCTGTTTGTACGGAAGAGCAATCAGGTGGCAATCAATATGTACACGAATCTAGGTTACATCATATATCGCACGATACTCGAGTACTATTCGGGCGACCAGGACGAGGATGCGTACGGTAAGTGGACGGTGGACTTCTATACTGAGAGCCTTTATCTAATGCCGTGATTCTCCTTGCAGATATGAGAAAAGCTATGTCCAGGGACGTGAACAAGAAGTCGGTCATACCGTACACACAGCCTGTACGACTGGAAGATATAGATATGAATTGATACGATATCAACCCAGTAGTAGCGCCCGCAACCGCATTTATGTCTAATTGACCCCGATCCACTACCTTAAACGGAAGCGCAAGCCCCAAACACTTTCTAGTTACTATGTAGTAAGACCTGTAAATAATCCGCAGTCCCACAACCTTTCTTCCTGGTGATAACCATCCAAAACGAAACGACAGTCCTGCTTGGTCCGATCCCTGCACATGCACAGAGTGAAATTGTATTAATATGACCTCGACCTTCTTCTTTAACCATCAAGATCAAGATTTCCCAAGTCGATGCGTAAATAATAACCGTATGTGACACGTGTGTGTGTGTGTGTAGTGTGTTCCGGCACTTTGAAAAGGTAAATAACGTGCGCAACAGTTGAGTTCATCATTGTAAATGACCGAAAGTATCTAACGCCATCGCCATTGGCATCGTCATCGCAGCTCGCACATCCTGACCAGCTGCCGCATGTATACGATCCTCTAACGGTGTCGAATGTTTCTTGCAGATCACAATGCGGGAGCTGCGCCGCCAAATGAGACACGACCACTAACTGGGACAATCCATCGGCCTGCTGCTACTGCCGCCAGGCCAAGCATAACACAACATAAACCTTAGCCATCATTTTGCTTTATCGGCGGCCCTTAGCCGATCCCAAACGTATTTTATTAGAGAGCCCTATCCTTTGACAATTAAATAAATATACAACATTTTATCCAAGTAAGTTGTGATTTTGATTATTATATTCAAGTTCGATTTCAGCAAAGGGCATCCACCCATTTGGTTGCCCGAAGATAATACCAACTCCCACAGAAGGAAGATAGATATATCTCTATTTTTGAAGAAACATTAGACAAGTGTTATTTTAATAATTTTTATTGCCAAGGATATTCAAGTTGTATGTACGAGTATGCATCCCAAGCTGGATGTTTCCGAGTCCTCGCACTCTTGACAACCAGAGTTTAATCAATAGTTTATGTTCCCGCATGCTGACTGCCTAAATTTGGCCACTGCCCGATGGGTTGAGTCAGTCGGAGTCAGTCCGCGGAAAATGGCGAAGAAGGGTGGAGTTCAGCAGCTCCAGGCGGATCTTGCCTCGGACGAGGAGTTCGAGAAGTTTCTGCAGCGATCCGGCTTGCTGGGTACGTTCAGAGGCGATTAGAGTTGGGACCTGGGGACTGGGGCAAAGATTACTAACCTTGTGGCAACCGTCAGTGCTCGACATATACTCGGAGTGGTGCGGCCCTGCCTGGGCATGGTGGGCAGCCTGCGGAAGATTAAGCTGGAGCTGGGCGGCGACAACCTGCAACTGGCCATTGTAAGAGCTCGGTGAAAAGAGTTGGTGAAATTCCACATAACACATTCACCTATGTATATACATGGCTCTTTTCCGGAACAACAACACCACACCACACCACACCGGATAGTGCAAGGCGGGCTCCATTTCCTACCTTGAACGATTCAACAAGAAGAGCGAGCCCACTTGGATGTTCGTAACGGTGAGTATCATCACAGATATTAATTCTTCACTAATCTGCCAGAGAACTTCCACTCTTTGGCAGAACGGCAAAGCCATTAACATCATGTTCGGCACGGATGTGCCCAAGCTGGTGGCAATGATCACCAGGATGCTGCAGTCGACAATGGCCAAGGAGTCACATGTCAGCTACGAGATAACCGAACTGCAGCCAATCGAACTGCAACAGCTGGAGGTGCGCAACCGGGCGCTGCAGGTTGCCGAGGAGATCGAGCTGGCTGAGAGCCGGCGCAAGCGTGTCGAATACCTTCGCAGCGTCACCGATTGCATCATGGGGAACCTGCCCGACATCGGTATCACCGTCTTCGGGCCGCAGGTGAATCGCGACATGTTCAAGAAGCTCTCCGAGCCGGCCGATCCTCTCAAGATCCAGTGCAAGGACCGCAAGGTCTTCTCCATTTCGCCGGCTGACTTCGCCACGGTGAACTTTGCGGCCGAGAATCCGCTGGCCCCGGAGGTGATCGAGCAGCTGTACGACAAGGAGCTGCTCATGTGCTTCTGGAAGGTGGAGGAGGTGCTCGGAAGCCCCCGGCCGTGCTGCGCCAGTACGCCCATGAGCTGACTAAGGAGACAATCAAACCGCCTGATGAGTTCAACGAAGAGGAGATCACAGTGCCGCCAATGATTGTGCCGCTGGAGGTAACCGTGGAAATCCTGGAGCCAGGCGAGTGTCCCATTATCCTCTTGTATATATGTACAAGAGAATTATTATTCTTTTTCCTCTAGAGATAAATGTCGATGCGGAGGCAGAGGTGGAACCGGAGCCGGAGGAGGAACAGGGCGGCCAGCAGCTGGGTGAGATGCCCAATGATGAGGAAATGGAGGCGGCGGAGTCTGATCCCTCTCCGGCCGAACTCCTTCCAGTGGCGCAGCCAGAGGAGAAGCCGCGCAGGACCAAGACCATCCGGATACCGCCCATTTGGGTGCCTAGTGACCAGCGCACCCATGCCGCCCTTATCTACACCTACTTCCGCGCGCAGACCGCCACATTCCTGCCGCCCGATCCCGTTCCGGAGCCACCGCACATTGTGATGACATTCGATGCGTACAAGAAGAAGGATCTCGGCGTGCTCCTTGAGACCTGTCGCGAGGATATACCGCTCTACGGCTTCTTCACCAGCGACAATCCCCAGACGGCCGTTTTCATAGCGAACTCGGTGGAAAAGTACAATGCCAAGCCCTATGTTCCGTAAGTACCCATTATGTCCCTTCTCGCCTCGTCGTTCCTGTGCAAGGATCAGGAGGAATTCGCCCTCCAAGTTTTATTATTTATAATATCCCTGCAGAATATTTAAAAAAAAAGTTGAGGGGTAACATCGTTAAAATTTTCAAAAACCGACCAAAAAAAAAGGTATTGCTTAAAAAGTTAAATAGTATGCAGATTGTTAAGCGCCAAACAACTAACTCAGAACCGCTTTCCGAATTGAAATTAAGGCATTTTTGACAAAGTTATGCGATTTTTAAACTTTGGTTGTTCCAAAAAATATGATATAGAAAAATCCCTTACAAAAAAATTATCATATAAAAATATCAATTTTAGGAATCTTACTGAGGAAAATATCATTTTTACAGTGAAGGAGCCATTTCCGACCCTATAAATCATATATATTCTTGATCAGCATTAACAGGCGAATCGTTCTAGCCATCTTAGGAAGCAAAAAAATCATTTTAATTTTTTTCTAAAAAATTTAAGGGGTTGCATCGTTAAAATGTGCAAAAATTAAAAAAAATATTTGAATACCTTAAAAAGGAAAATTTGGTATGCAGAATTGTTAAGCGCCAAACAACTAACTCAGAACCGCTTTCCGAATTGAAATTAAGGCATTTTTGACAAAGTTATGCGATTTTTAAACTTTGGTTGTTCCAAAAAATATGATATAGAAAAATCCCTTACAAAAAAATTATCATATAAAAATATCAATTTTAGGAATCTTACTGAGGAAAATATCATTTTTTACAGTGAAGGAGCCATTTCCGACCCTATAAATCATATATATTCTTGATCAGCATTAACAGGCGAATCGTTCTAGCCATCTCAGGAAGCAAAAGAACCATTTTAATTTTTTTCTAAAAAATTTAAGGGGTTGCATCGTTAAAATGTGCAAAAATCAAAAAAAATATTTGAATACCTTAAAAAGGAAAATTTGGTATGCAGAATTGTTAGGCGCCAAACAAATAACTCAGAACCGCTTTTCGAATTGAAATTAAGGCATTTTTGACAAAGTTATACAGTGAAGGAGCCATTTCCGACCCTATAAATCATATATATTCTTGATCAGCATTAACAGGCGAATCGTTCTAGCCATCTCAGGAAGCAAAAGAACCATTTTAATTTTTTTCTAAAAAATTTAAGGGGTTGCATCGTTAAAATGTGCAAAAATTTAAAAAAATATTTAATATCTTAAAAAGGAAAACTTGGTATGTGGAATTGTTAAGCGCCAAACAACTAACTCAGAACCGCTTTCCGAATTGAAATTAAGGCATTTTTGACAAAGTTATGCGATTTTTAAACTTTGGTTGTTCCAAAAAATATGATATAGAAAAATCCCTTACAAAAAAATTATCATATAAAAATATCAATTTTAGGAATCTTGCTGAGGAAAATATCATTTTTTACAGTGAAGGAGCCATTTCCGACCCTATAAATCATATATATTCTTGATCAGCATTAACAGGCGAATCGTTCTAGCCATCTCAGGAAGCAAAAGAACCATTTTAAATTTTTTCTAAAAATTTAAGGGGTTGCATCGTTAAAATGTGCAAAAATTTAAAAAAATATTTTAATACCTTAAAAAGGAAAATTGGTATGCAGAATTGTTAGGCGCCAAACAAATAACTCAGAACCGCTTTTCGAATTGAAATTAAGGCATTTTGACAAAGTTATACAGTGAAGGAGCCATTTCCGACCCTATAAATCATATATATTCTTGATCAGCATTAACAGGCGAATCGTTCTAGCCATCTCAGGAAGCAAAAGAACCATTTTAATTTTTTTCTAAAAATTTAAGGGGTTGCATCGTTAAAATGTGCAAAAATTTAAAAAAATATTTTAATATCTTAAAAAGGAAAACTTGGTATGTGGAATTGTTAAGCGCCAAACAACTAACTCAGAACCGCTTTCCGAATTGAAATTAAGGCATTTTGACAAAGTTATGCGATTTTTAAACTTTGGTTGTTCCAAAAAATATGATATAGAAAAATCCCTTACAAAAAAATTATCATATAAAAATATCAATTTAGGAATCTTGCTGAGGAAAATATCATTTTTACAGTGAAGGAGCCATTTCCGACCCTATAAATCATATATATTCTTGATCAGCATTAACAGGCGAATCGTTCTAGCCATCTCAGGAAGCAAAAGAACCATTTTAAATTTTTCTAAAAAATTTAAGGGGTTGCATCGTTAAAATGTGCAAAAATTTAAAAAAATATTTTAATATCTTAAAAAGGAAAGAATTGTTAAGCGCCAAACAAATAACTCAGAACCGCTTTTCGAATTGAAATTAAGGCATTTTTGACAAAGTTATGCGATTTTTAAACTTTGGTTGTTCCAAAAATATGATATAAAAAAATCCCTTACAAAAAAAATTATCATATAAAAAAATCAATTTTAGGAATCTTGCTGAGGAAAATATCATTTTTACAGTGAAGGAGCCATTTCCGACCCTATAAATCATATATATTCTTGATCAGCATTAACAGGCGAATCGTTCTAGCCATCTCAGGAAGCAAAAGAACCATTTTAATTTTTTTCTAAAAAATTTAAGGGGTTGCATCGTTAAAATGTGCAAAAATCAAAAAAATATTTGAATACCTTAAAAAGGAAAATTTGGTATGCAGAATTGTTAGGCGCCAAACAACTAACTCAGAACCGCTTTCCGAATTGAAATTAATGCATTTTTGACAAAGTTATGCGATTTTTAAACTTTGGTTGTTCCAAAAAATATGATATAAAAAAATCCCTTACAAAAAAATTATCATATAAAAAAATCAATTTTAGGAATCTTGCTGAGGAAAATATCATTTTTTACAGTGAAGGAGCCATTTCCGACCCTATAAATCATATATATTCTTGATCAGCATTAACAGGCGAATCGTTCTAGCCATCTCAGGAAGCAAAAGAACCATTTTAAATTTTTCTAAAAAATTTAATATTTTAATATCTTAAAAAGGAAAACTGGTATGCAGAATTGTTAAGCGCCAAACAAATAACTCAGAACCGCTTTTCGAATTGAAATTAAGGCATTTTGACAAAGTTATGCGATTTTTAAACTTGGTTGTTCCAAAAAATATGATATAGAAAAATCCCTTACAAAAAAATTATCATATAAAAAATCAATTTTAGGAATCTTGCTGAGGAAAATAGCATTTTTTACAGTGAAGGAGCCATTTCCGACCCTATAAATCATATATATTCTTGATCAGCATTAACAGGCGAATCGTTCTAGCCATCTCAGGAAGCAAAAGAACCATTTTAAATTTTTCTAAAAAATTTAAGGGGTTGCATCGTTAAAATGTGCAAAAATTTAAAAAAATATTTAATATCTTAAAAAGGAAAGAATTGTTAAGCGCCAAACAAATAACTCAGAACCGCTTTTCGAATTGAAATTAAGGCATTTTTGACAAAGTTATGCGATTTTAAACTTTGGTTGTTCCAAAAAATATGATATAAAAAAATCCCTTACAAAAAAAATTATCATATAAAAAAATCAATTTTAGGAATCTTGCTGAGGAAAATATCATTTTTTACAGTGAAGGAGCCATTTCCGACCCTATAAATCATATATATTCTTGATCAGCATTAACAGGCGAATCGTTCTAGCCATCTCAGGAAGCAAAAGAACCATTTTAAATTTTTCTAAAAAATTTAAGGGTTGCATCGTTAAAATGTGCAAAAATTTAAAAAAATATTTAATATCTTAAAAAGGAAAACTTGGTATGCAGAATTGTTAAGCGCCAAACAACTAACTCAGAACCGCTTTCCGAATTGAAATTAAGGCATTTTTGACAAAGTTATGCGATTTTTAAACTTTGGTTGTTCCAAAAAATATGATATAGAAAAATCCCTTACAAAAAAATTATCATATAAAAAAATCAATTTTAGGAATCTTGCTGAGGAAAATAGCATTTTTTACAGTGAAGGAGCCATTTCCGACCCTATAAATCATATATATTCTTGATCAGCATTAACAGGCGAATCGTTCTAGCCATCTCAGGAAGCAAAAGAACCATTTTAAATTTTTTCTAAAAAATTTAAGGGGTTGCATCGTTAAAATGTGCAAAAATTTAAAAAATATTTTAATATCTTAAAAAGGAAAGAATGTTAAGCGCCAAACAAATAACTCAGAACCGCTTTTCGAATTGAAATTAAGGCATTTTTGACAAAGTTATGCGATTTTTAAACTTTGGTTGTTCCAAAAAATATGATATAAAAAATCCCTTACAAAAAAAATTATCATATAAAAAAATCAATTTTAGGAATCTTGCTGAGGAAAATATCATTTTTACAGTGAAGGAGCCATTTCCGACCCTATAAATCATATATATTCTTGATCAGCATTAACAGGCGAATCGTTCTAGCCATCTCAGGAAGCAAAAGAACCATTTTAATTTTTTCTAAAAAATTTAAGGGTTGCATCGTTAAAATGTGCAAAAATCAAAAAAAATATTTGAATACCTTAAAAAGGAAAATTTGGTATGCAGAATTGTTAGGCGCCAAACAACTAACTCAGAACCGCTTTCCGAATTGAAATTAAGGCATTTTTGACAAAGTTATGCGATTTTAAACTTTGGTTGTTCCAAAAAATATGATATAAAAAATCCCTTACAAAAAAAATTATCATATAAAAAAATCAATTTAGGAATCTTGCTAAGGAAAATATCATTTTTACAGTGAAGGAGCCATTTCCGACCCTATAAATCATATATATTCTTGATCAGCATTAACAGGCGAATCGTTCTAGCCATCTCAGGAAGCAAAAGAACCATTTTAAATTTTTCTAAAAAATTTAAGGGGTTGCATCGTTAAAATGTGCAAAAATTTAAAAAATATTTTAATATCTTAAAAAGGAAAACTTGGTATGCAGAATTGTTAAGCGCCAAACAAATAACTCAGAACCGCTTTCGAATTGAAATTAAGGCATTTTTGACAAAGTTATGCGATTTTAAACTTTGGTTGTTCCAAAAAATATGA